CATCTCCCGCCAAAACTATTAACTATATACTATCTGACAGCTTCAGCAGTGGTATCACTGCGACCCCAACGAATTTACCTACGTTTCTATCTATAAATTATTTCTGTAGAGTGAGATTTGTGGCCTTGAGAGCAGTTTACAAATTTATTTTTTGTCAAATGTTTCTCTCTCCCTACACTCTAGCGATGATGTCACGCACTCTGGCAGTTGAACATTCTACCAATACACACCCATTCATTTTTTGGACCGGTTTTTGGCGATTTACCGGCAAACTGTTTGGCGAAACGCTTAGAAAAGTCACAGCACTAATGTCCTCACCGAGCCGTACGTTTTGATACCTTTTTTGTGTACGCGCGACCAAAACTGCGGGAGGAGAAGCGCGCCGAAAAACGTACGGAAGAATAAAATATTATAAGTATTGTGCTTTTCAAGGCACAATAATTATAATATTTATAATACTTATAATATTTATAATATTTATAATATTTAGGTTATTTTTAAATCTGAAAGCGTTCAGTTAGAGTTCATTCTTCATGTGCAAACACAACCAGACTCCATTTACAAAACCAGTAATTTTACCTGGCAGATAATTGTGAAACACAACTCAAACTGGACAGAAACAAAATAAACAGACTCAGGTTGTTATTGTCAGTGTCTGACAGCATTATGGAAAGGATCCCTACAGAGATAGACCTTTAGTTTAACCACAAACAGCCGTAATATCACTATCACTCTCCACCAGACTCCAGAGACACAAACACTCATTTTACCTTCAGATCATCGTAACTTCATTAAAGTGGACAGAAACAGAATCAAACTCATTAAAAGCGTCTCTGTTAGTGTTTCCAACAATCACCAACTCTGGTTTGGTGGAAATAAATCCTTAATTCACCGACGTAGATGATAAAAACAGCAGTTTCAGTCGGAGCAGACCGGCTATGGAAACAAACCACAGAGAGGCTGCGATACAACACAGGCAGAGGGAGAGAGACACCATGTGACTCTGTGTATAGAGAATATAATGTTATCTGATATATTAATGTTATAAATCTATAACTTTAAGTATGTTCATATTTAAGTCAACACATTTGATTAAACCGACTCTGTGAGGTTTTTCTTCGTCATTATCTCTGATCTGAATCTTCTCCACATCCGCTGGTTTTCAGTCCTCAGCAGTTTCTGTCGTCCTGTGTCTGAACCGACATTATTAGAAGTCAGAAGTTATTTTCAGCTTTTCTTTATATATTTAATCCAATCGTAGCACCACTTCACTGATGTTGTTCTTCTCTCCTCGCAGCTCCAGTTCCCTCTGCCCGAGTTCATCGTGGCCATGGGCTTCTTCATGGTCCTGGTCCTGGAGCAGATCATCCTGGCCTTCAAAGACCAATCCTCCCCTCACACGGAGGAGCGCCGGTCTCTGCTGGTGGACTCCAGCGTGCAGGCGAACGACGGCAGGAACGGTCGTCATCACTCTCACCGCCGGCGCGGGTCGGAGGAGTCCGACGGCGGCCACTTCCACGTGGACTTCAGCTCCCAGTCCGCCCTGCGCGCCTTCATCCTGGTCTTCTCGCTGTCGCTGCACTCGGTGTTTGAGGGTTTGGCGGTGGGGCTGCTGGAGGAGGGGAAGGAGGTTCTGGAGATCTGCCTGGCGCTGATGATCCACAAGAGCATCATCTCCTTCAGCCTGGCCTTCAAGCTGTCGCAGAGCCGGCTGCGGCGGTCGGTGGTGACGGGCTGCCTGCTGCTGTTCGCCGCCATGTCCCCGCTGGGCATCGGCGTGGGCGTAGGCCTCACCGAGACCAAGGCGTCGCCGCAGCACCAGCTGGCCCGCAGCACGCTGGAGGGGCTGGCGACGGGAACCTTCCTCTACATCACCTTCATGGAGATCCTGCCGCACGAGCTCAGCGCCGCCAGGAACCGCATCCCCAAGGTGGCCATGCTGCTGGTGGGCTTCGCTCTGGTCACCGCCGTGCTCTTCATCAAACTGTAACCGTGGAAACGGACAACAGGAAGTCCTTCCTGTTCATTGGTGAACTCTCTATCGCTCAACTTCATCCTTCCCTGTACTTAAATATGCTACGTGCTTGGCTAATCTATGCTGCAACCGCCGACATATATAAAGATAAACGTCAGAAAATTACAACGGAGTATTAAGGCCATACTAAGAGGAAAAATAAATAAATATATAGTCGTAATAATACCAGAATAAAGTCGTAATCATACGAGAATAAAGTCGTAATAATACCAGAATAAAGTCGTAATAATACGAGAATAGTCGTAATAATATGAGAATAAAGTCGTAATATTACCAAAATAAAGTCATAATAATATGAGAATAGTCGTAATAATATGAGAATAAAGTCGTAATATTACCAAAATAAAGTCATAATAATATGAGAATAGTCGTAATAATATGAGAATAAAGTCGTAATATTACCAAAATAAAGTCATAATAATATGAGAATAGTCGTAATTTTACCAGAATAAAGTCGTAATAATACGAGAATAAAGTCGTAATAATACGAGAATAAAGTCGTAATATTACCAAAATAAAGTCATAATAATACCAGAATAAAGTCGTAATATTACCAAAATAAAGTCGTAATAATACCAGAATAAAGTCGTAATAATACGAGAATAAAGTCGTAATAATACGAGTATAAAGTCGTAATAATACGAGTATAAAGCACAAAAGAAGCAATTTCTTCTGAGTCCCTGTGGTTCTTCCTTCGAAATAGCACAGTTTGCACAAACATTTCAAAGTCCTGGTACTGATAATAATTTGATGCTGATGTGACAAAAGATTAAGTATTTCCTTATTTGTGAAACCGTTAAATTAAGTATAACTTAACAAGATGCTCAACATTCCTCATTTTAACGAAGCAGGAAGATAAAATTACGACTTTATTCTCGTAATTTCCCCCCAAAAATTAATCTTTTCTGTAAATGTCTTAAAGATTGTAGGATTTAGTGGCATCTAGAGGCAGATTACAACTCACTTGTTCAACCCTCCCTTTCCAACCTCGAGGGGACTACAGTGACCACGAAACACCCGATAAAGGTCCCTATGTAGTGTCGGTGTTTGGTTTGTCCCTTCTGGACTACCGTACAAACTCCAGAGAAGGAAAGGTGTCTTCCTCAGGTAACAAAAACGATTTTATATTCAGGTGATTTTACACAAATATAAACACTATAAATATTATATAACGTTGTTACAGAGTTACCATTTCCTGTTGGTTCGTAAAGGGAAAACTATGGAAGCCCATTTCTGCCAAGAAGATACTGACTTAATATCACAAAGTAATTATTTTGAGATACCACAGAAATTTACAGAATCTGTCACATAGCAGTTTTTTTACTCTGTAGTCGTTAAAAACGTGCCGACGTGAGAATATGTGATTTCTTTCTTCTTCCTCCGACGAACCGACAGAAACAGAAACCGCTTTGTGTTCCAGATTTTCCCCCTTTTCACTTCGGCTTGAAAGGAAGTCTTTTATTTAGCCGAGGCCGTGCAGAGAAAACGCTGCGCTGAGCAAACACAATGAGCTGGTTGTTGTTGTTGTTGTTGTTGTTGTGCAGTCAGACGGGGCTTTACAACCGGGGCTGCTGGATGTCCGAGCCCATTCGTGTCTCCTCCTTTAAGATCAGCTTTGATTTTATTTTCTTTAACTTGTGCAGTGATCAGGATGTAATGACTGAAATGTATTTTTGTGATTACGAACACCAAAGTCTTTGATCCAAAGTCTTTTTAAACACTGCAGTATTTTAATCGTTGTGTTGAATGTATGAAATGTATCATATTTTGTATTGTGATGATCAGACTGAATTAAACATGAAATAGTTTTTCAGATCATAAAGTGATTGAGAGTCTTAAATTGTTGGTTTGAAACCTTTAAGACGTATATTGTTTTAGTGCACTGGTTTGCAGTCACACGGGGGTCTTATTAATTTTAAGAGAACTTTAAAAATATACACAGTCAGACGATATCTCTCTGTTTGGATTATAATTTAAGATGTGAACTCTGAGTGTATATTCACACCTCCAGTCTCGGATCAACAGCCTCGTCCTGATTTAGAAAACAACCAAAAGACGAAACACTGAATCTGTCAAGTAGTAAGTCTTTATGATTGTTAAAGAAATCACATAAAAATCCAGAATACAGACAGAGAATTGTATAAAAAGTTCCCTAAAACAGCTTCACTGTTTGTGTTCATTGGACAGTTTTAATATAATATGAAAGATCCATAAAATATGTTTATTAATACAAACGGGGGCCTTTATACTTTCATATATATATTTATATATATTTATATATATCTGCACATCCAAACATCTTTAAAGCTGCTGTTAGTTTTCAGAAATGATTAAAATAACAACTTAATATCTCAAAGTGATTATTTTAATAACACACACTGAAGGAGGCTTTACTCCTAAATGAACACATCCGGGTGGGAGACCTCCAACCAGCTCCAGCCCCCCCTCCCGACCTTTGACCTCTGACCTCCCTCCAGCAGAGAGGTGGAGCAGGTGGATTTAAGCACAGGACTACATTTTAATCAGGACACCTGTAATTAAACTCAGGAAGTTCTGCGGGTTGGGGGGGGGTGCAGTGGCTGAGATCCGCCGCTGGGGGGCGCACTGCCACTTTCTCCCCCACAAACAGTCAAAGCTCGTCTGTGTCTGACAGGATGAGTCCCTCGGTGGGTTGGACCGGTGGCACAGATCTGTCCTCTGAGAGTGGGCGTTCACCCCCCCCCCCCACCGCACCTTGTTCCTGTTTGACCCCGATTACACAATCACACAGGTCGTTGCCATGGAGACCAGATCTGTGAATGAAATGAATGTGTCTGATAGGAAACAGGAAACGTGTATTTGGCCTACTCAGAAGAAAAGATTAAAAGATTAAAAGACTTTATTTACAGATTGGAAAATATGTGATTACGGATTAATGTATTTTATTTCCTGTCAAGGTTCAATTCTAATTTATTTTACTTCATTTATTATATTTACAGTCATCAGCATCTAAACTCCAACTTCACAATGCAGATGTAGGCAAAAACTTCTTTTTGTTGACTTTTATAAAACTTAAAACACACAAATTTATGTCAGAAAGACTTTTATTCTCATAAAGTGAGTAAGATTATTTTAGTGCTATTACATTCAAACATGCAACTTGTGGAATTAAACATGAGATGAAAGAAATTGTTGAAACTGATTAGATCAAACATTTTCAACTCAATTTTGTAGGTTAAAAAACATTATTGATCAAATAACTTTTTGAAAGGACTTAATTTTGTTCATTTTTTAAAATATATAATAGAATATATATAATAATCTATTAATAATAATAATTTGTGATAACAAATATGTTTTGTGTAACTTAAAAAACTAAGTTACTGTGAATTATTTTTTTTAAATTAATTACTAGTAAAAGCTAGAATCTTTTTGAACTTGAGTTTAGTTTGTTTTAATTAGAATAACACTTTCTGCCAATGTGACGGGGGTAAAAGGTCATTATAATGAGACACTTTCTCATTATTTTGAGATATGAAGTCAATATTTTTAGATATGAAGTCATTATTATGAGATAATTAGTCAATATTTGTAGATATTAAGTAACTTTTTTGAGATATTAAGACTTAGAGTTAGACTTCACTTTATTGATCCCTTTGAATTTCCAGCAGTTTACAAAACACACATAGAAAATAAAAGAGGTATATAAAAAAATACAAAATTAAGTCAACATTTTGAGATATTAAGTCATTATTATGAGATACTGAGTTGTTATTTGGAGATATTAAGCCTTTTTTTTATAAAATAAAATAAACTTTAGCATTATAAGGACTGTCACATTGGCACTAATGGGCTTCCATACCCCACAGTGTTTCATTCGCTAACACGAGAGCGCACACTGACTGACATTTACGGTCCCCAGAAGTCTCCGCGGAGTGAGACCTCTCCGCCGTCCCGCCAACTCTTCGGTGAAAAATCGTTCCACTACGTCAAGTCGTCCCGTCCGCTCGGTGAAGATGTCTGCGACGGGTACAGGCGGCTGTGGACCCGGACCCGGACCCACCTCGGGCTCCGGGTCCGGGGCTTCCAACCCCCGAAAGTTCAGCGAGAAGATAGCGCTGCACACCCAGCGACAGGCCGAGGAGACAGCCGCCTTCCAGGAGGTTATGATGGACATCACCTCGACCAGGGTGAGTCTGAGACGGAGGCAGGAGGAGGAGAGCTGCCCGGAGGAAGAGAGGCCTTCCCCGGGCTTGTCAGGCTCCGAGATAACGTTATCTGCTGCCTCTACACGGCTCTCTGTGTACAACTGCTGCGTTCAGGGTGAATAACGGCGTAACACGACAACGTCTCCAGCGTTTGAGTGATATATTCGGTGTTCGCGGACACCGTCGTTGCCTCTTGTTGTCCGTTTCCGATACGTCGTTAGCGTAGTTAGCAAGCGTTAGCAGCGAGGGGCTAACTTGGCTTGTTTACTATGTTACGTGAACGTCGCTGTCACCCTGCTGCTAGCCGCCGTGAGCGCGTCCCGCCGAACTCCCTTCGAAAAATCTGGCATTTAAGAGCCGCGTTTCTTATTATCAGATGTATTTATCACCAGTAACTTCAGGTGAGATATTTATCTAACACATGTTGTTCTCCTGGTAAATTCGGCCTATAAATGAGACACATTATAACAGTTTATTAATCATAGCTAACTCTTTTAACTTATGATATGGAAGCCCATTTCCGCCAATGTGATGGGGAAACAGTGATCCTGTAAGTTATTATAATGAGAACATTTATCAAAATAATGACTTAATATCTCAAATAATGAGAAATTATCTCAAAATAATGAAACTTTTTCAATATTTCAACTTAATATCTCAAAATAATGAGACAATATAAGCTGTTATTAGCACAGCTAACCGGGATATTTTGGTTTGTCTCTTATTCTTGAGGAGCTGCTCGAGTTCTGGGTTCAGTTTCCAGCTTTTTAAACAACTATAATTAAACTGTAGTGGAGTTTATGACAGAAGACAACCTTCACTTTTATTCAGGGAGTTACAAACTTATAATTAAAACAAATAAATACAAATATTTTTGCCTTTTGAAAGCAATATTTCCCAAAAGTTATTATTATATTATTATTACTAGAATCCAACCCCTTAAAATATATTTAATGTACTATAAGACTGATCAGAGATTAGTTTTCCTGATAATTTAGCAACTTTTTATACACTTTTCTGTCTGTATTATGTATTTTTTAGTCGTTGTTAACAATCATTCGGACTTAATTGGCTTCTTTTTTAGATAAATTCAGTGTTTTCTTCTCCCTGCTGTTTGACCCTTGTTAGGAACACACAGAGAGATAATAAAAACACAGAAACCTCGTTATTAACTGTGTGCCACGATCTCTGATGGTCGACAACCCGTCTCACAGTTTGTATATTGTGTCCTCTGACCTAAATATGAATAACTGTAACCTCAGTGATGATACTAATAATAATAATAACCCAAACAAGGATCCATGCTCCTGCCGGTGGCCTGCACAGCGACGGCGCTCTCACCGTCTGTGTTTGAGAAGCCGTCAATCACAGCGAGCTAAAGTAAACACAGGCTGTGATTGGCCGACAGCTCACCTGCCGACACACCTGCTCACGTTTGTGTGTTAGTTTGTGATCGACTGAACAACAGCAGGTCCCAGAGCTCTGATGGTAGCGAGGCTGCAGGTTTACTGTGTGTCAACTGCTTTCTGCTACTTTAATCTTTAATTAATTAATGTTTGGTAAACTCTCGGATAATGGGAATTTATATAAACTGTAAAACTTCAGTTATTGTGAAATGTTGAGCTTTAATGAGCATAATTTATGGAGGATATTTCAGAAGCTGTTTGGACGATATTAGACGATATTAGACGATGATATTGGACGATATTAGACGATATTAGACGATGATATTGGCCGATATTAAGGCCGATATGAGACGATATTGACCGATATTAGACGATGATATTGGCCGATATTGGAAGATATTAGACAATATTAGATGATATTTGACGATATTAAAGTGTTTCTGGGGTGTATTGATGATCCATTTCTGACATTTTCAGAATACAGAAATTCGATCAGAGCTGTGGAATATTAAATAATCTGTGTTTGCGCTCTGTATCGGAGTCTTTCTTTCCCCCAGGTGTGTAAAAACTACAGGTTATGAACATGGTTAAAATGTTTAGCTCGCTCTGATTGGTCTGTTGGCAGTTTAAAGTTTAGGACCCGTCGTATCTGATCAAAGTAAACATGAGCTCAGTCAGTCAGTCGGCACAGTTCTGATCTGACTGTTGAGGAAGTGATCTGGGTTTTTGTTTTCACTCATAAAGCGAGCAGCAGTGACACATTTGGACCGAGTGTGTCACAGTTTCAGATGACAGATCAGATCTACCACCGCCAGTCTGCCCCCGTCAGTCTGCCCCCGTCAGTCTGCCCCGTCAGTCTACCACCGTCAGTCTACCACCGTCAGTCTGCCACCGTCAGTCTGCCCCCGTCAGTCTACCCCCGTCAGTCTGCCACCGTCAGTCTACCACCGTCAGTCTACCCCCGTCAGTCTACCACCGTCAGTCTGCCACCGTCAGTCTGCCACCGTCAGTCTGCCCCCGTCAGTCTGCCACCGTCAGTCTCCCCCGTAGTCTCCCCGTCCCACACCATCCCCGTCAGTCTGCCACCGTCAGTCTACCACCACCAGTCTACCACCGTCAGTCTACCACCGTCAGTCTACCCCCGTCAGTCTACCACCGTCAGTCTGCCACCGTCAGTCTGCCACCGTCAGTCTGCCACCGTCAGTCTGCCACCGTCAGTCTACCACCGTCAGTCTGCCACCGTCAGTCTACCCCCGTCAGTCTACCACTGTCAGTCTACCCCCGTCAAAAACAACCGTAAACCTTCTGAATTCAAGTTTCTCTTTTACTGAACGAACTCACTGAACAACATAAAACTCCAACGGTCTTCATTCGACTCCCCCCCCACCCGTCCTCACCTTGGTACAGTCTGAATAAACCCTTAATTCACCGCCGGTAAAACAACGTCTCTACAGCTGTTTCTCCACTCACTTGTTCTTTGGCTCAGTGAGTGATCGGCTGAGCGTCTGTCGCTGGTCATTGTTTGGAGGTAGACCATTAAATTAACTCAATAAAATGACAGAAAAACAACTGATATAATATAATATAATATAATATAATATTATATAATAAGTCCAACCCTAATCGTGCAACCCTACTATAAAACAAATCACCAACTATTTCTAAGAGTCAGTTAATGGTCAGATATCTGTAGTCTGTAGTCGTCTTTCAGCGGAGGTGGAAACACAGTAAAAATAAAACTACTGATTCAACTTAAGTGAAAAAGTACAGACTCTAAAATGTACTGTAAGGCCTTATCCGCAGTGGGTTGGTATTACCAGGGGACCCCCCCCCCGCCGCCACCCTCCACATCTGTGTTTAGTGCGAGGTCTGTGTTTTGCTTACAGACATTATCCCGCAGTCGGCGTGTTATAAAGCCACCGCTGCTCTCTTTTTAAACCTGCACACATGGTTCCCGCTGCAGTGCGACGCTGCAGGTGTTCAATAAAGTGTGAGGGAGGGAATCGAACTTGCGGCTCAAACGTAGAAGCTGGTTTTCTGATGTTGGAGGGTTGTATGTGTGTATGTGATGTTAGAATCCATCCAGGACCTGTTGATGGAGGAAGTTTTACTGATTACAGACATTAAAGGTATTTTAACTCGTATTAAATGTTTAAAATCAGAAGGTTTTCTTTTCCTGGACTTTGCGATGTGCTGATTAATTACCACAAAGCCAATGTGCAACGTGATCGATCAATAACTGCTCTCTCATTGATTACCCTGCGTTCGTCTGTCCATCAGTTCACTGCAGATTAATAGACTACGTTATTGATCAGTGAGTCTCAGAAATAATGGATACGTTAATCAACAGTGAAAGTGATCATCAGTCGCAGTGCTGCTTCAGATTAAACACACCCCACACACACACACACACCCACCCTCCTTCTCTGTCACTTACTGACAATACCACCCTTCGGTCTCTTCTGGGAATTCCTTCTGCCCCTGTCCTTCTCACACACACACACACACACACACACACACACACACACACACACACACACACACACACACACAGCAGCAGGAGTGTGTGGGTGGTCCAATCAGCTAATAGCATCAGGGTGTGTGTGTTGGTAGCAGCAGATTCTCCATGTCGAAGCTGTTCAGTATTGATATGCTGCTTCTCTCAGGCTCACTTCTCATTCATTTCAAAGGACTGAAATCAGAGACACACAATGTAATAATAATAATAATAATAATAGTTTATAAATACAGTGATTTAATATTCTCAGGAAACACAGAATCCTGCTCTTATTTCTTTCACTATTTGGGTTCATCAATTACAGTTTGCACTATATTTAATATAAAAATATCCATTAAAATATGTCAGTAAGTCAGGAGTCAGTTTATTGGTTGGGAACCACTGATCTACACAGCCAGTCAGAGAAATACAATGCCAAACAATAATCAATCAATTACATCACTCACTCTTTACTAAAGTACAGATGTAATGAAAGTATAGATGATATGGAGGTATCTATGGGGGGTCCATGATTATCTTCAGTTTTGCTTTAGTGGTGCAGATACATCGTACAGTATGCAACATTTCCATTTAATCTGCGTGGATTTTAGGACCCGACACAGCGAGTGGTGACACTAACACTGACGCACAACATAAGAACCAGGAAGATTAAATGCACATAGGGCCGAGGAACATGAGCACAAAGGTAATAAAACAATAAAGAACAAATAAATAGGAATAAAAACATATATCAGTTTATATTTCCAAAAAGTTTGGACTAAAAGAAAGAAGAAGAGTTTTAATAGAAACGAGAGACTTTGTGTGTGAGTTCATTAGGCTGTGACATCCATAGTGTGGGGCTCCATCTGACCAATACCTGACCAATATCTGACCAATACCTGACCAGTACCTGACCAATACCTGACCAGTACCTGACCAGTACCTGACCAATACCTGACCAATACCTGACCAGTACCTGACCAATATCTGACCAATACCTGACCAGTACCTGACCAGTACCTGACCAATACCTGACCAATACCTGACCAGTACCTGACCAGTACCTGACCAATATCTGACCAATATCTGACCAATATCTGACCAATACCTGACCAATATCTGACCAATACCTGACCAATATCTGACCAATACCTGACCAATACCTGACCAGTACCTGACCAATACCTGACCAATATCAGTTCAGAGCTGCAACCATTTGCTGATTAATTGATCTGCAGTTATTTTGATAATCAGTTTATTATAGTGTAAATATAGTATTTGATGCTTCCAGATATTTAAGAATAATCTGCTCTGATTGAATATATTTAGATTTTAGACTGTTAGATAATAAAGACGTCTGCCGGTGCTCTAGGACATTGTTACGGCCGTTGTTTTCTGATGTTTTGCAGACGAATAATCAATAATAAAATAATTGTTTAGGGTTAATAGAGGTATGTTGGTATGTTGTTGGATAGGCAAAAAAAACCCCAATTATATTTGACTTCAATGTTCCCAGTTCAAGGTTTATCGTTATAAACAACATTATATAATCACACAAGGTTTGCAGTCCTTCATGCTACACACAGAGAAAAATATAATTAAGGACAAATATTTATATACATACATACTGTTGAATGTCTTTACTCAGAAATATCATAAACACACTTATTAATGACTTAATTGAGTGTAATTAAAAAGAATATCATTGATATCGGTGTTTGAAAGGCTCTGTTTTCATCAGGAAGATGAAGATGTTGTAGGAGTTGAGAAGTTTGGAGATTAATCAGAGAGAAGCTTTAGTGGCCCGACAGAAATACTACACACCGTGGTCAGAGCGCCTCCGTCAGCTCGCTGATATACCAGAATATCACTAATGGAGTCTGGACAGAAAGTTTTTAAAGCTGAAATGGAAACCGTGTAGGCAGCCTTTCTGTCTGTGGAGGTTGTAATTTAAATCTGATATAATGACGCTGACTTAGAAATGAGCGCCATGAAAATATGGTTTTATTAATCATAAGGCATTAAAGCGTTATATATCATAACTACTATAAGTTTTTATCTCTGCAGACTCTTCGTTATTGGCGCATAATTCGTAGACTCATGCACGCGGTAAACAAACTCTAATTAAATCTATTTAAAGACGTTTTCCTCCTCACAGGACGGTGATAATTGCAGCTGCGGGGCAGGATAGTGACTCGTGGAGCCTCGGGGAGGAACAGGGACTTTCTGAGGTTTTACTGGTTTAGTTAAGTGGGATTAAATGTGTTGCTCAGTCAGTTAAAGGCTGCTGGCTTTAAATTCCTTGATCCTCACTGATAAAGTCTACGTGATCTGTGAGAGCTTTATTAATGCAGGAGAAGTTGAACTGCGTCACTGACCGACATCCTGCAGGTCCTCCACGTTACATAAAGGCAACGTAGCATTAGCTGCCGATCGCTGCCATTCTGTACTGATTCCTGATCTGTTTTCTGTCTACGCAGGTTTCCAGTGTCAACGCAACTGTTTTATGAGTCTGAGTCTGTAGAAACTCGGACAACAACTAAAGATTGTCCTGGTCGAGCAGCAGTCGTTAAATAAAGCCAACAGTCGACTTGCCGTTGCACGTTTCTGACATTAATGTATTGATTATAAACTGTTAAACAGAAACAGTAATGATTGTGAATCAGAACAAGCAGCAAGGAGACTGAACATTTATTTATTCCAACACAGTGTAAACAGTCTGGTTGTTCAACACACGGAATAAATAACTTCCAACTTCACTGAAACTGATCCTGACTTATCGATACGATGGATGATTGATAACATTAACAGTTACTGACTAATTAACTGGCTACAAACTGGCTCCTCTTCCTCCGTTTCATTCCTCTCCTGTCGCTGCCTGAACCCGCCGAGTCTTCCTCCCCAGAGTCAGAGTCCTGGTCGGAGCCGCCGTCCTTCCAGCTCCCAGTCCGGGTACAGACAGCTAATAGGACCGCTAACTGGCTAATAGCAGCTGGTGCAGTTTTGATACTTTGGTCCCGGTGGACGAAGAGCAGCTCCTGAACGCAGTTTAACGTTGGGTTGGTTTCTCTGAGACTGTCAGACTGATGGAAAGTGTCACTGAGACTCAGTTTCATGAGTCATTTTCTTGCTGTCAGATAAAAACATGCCAGTGTAGGTACCTGATGTGCTCCGGCGTTTACAGATGATGTAACACATTAACATGTTATTAAGGATGCACGATAATTATCGGCTGATATTGGGGAGTTTATGTTATGAAATGATCGGGATGAGTAAATTACAGCTGATAAATTATTGGTTGATGTTAGTAGTGATTTATTTTTAATTCTTATGACAAACAAAAGTGGGATGGTTTGACAGTAGGACGTTGATCTTACTCCGAGGGGTCAGATTATGGCCTCGGGTGGTTTCAGTGTGGAGGTTTGGTGTCAACCTGCTGGCTGATGAGGAAGCTGGGATTGTGAGGCTGCTGCTGGTCGCTCTGTAGTCTCTGTGGGTGAATAATCAGTCAGTTAGTAAGTATTGTGTTGCTGTATTACAGGTGTCGTGCAGGCTGCAAACAGTGGTTACCGAGCACGCTGTCGGCTGTTCGTCTGAGTCATAAGAAGTTTTGTTTTTTGTTTTTAGGTAAGATATTCTTAGACGCTGTTTTAACCACGTTTCCGATCAGCGTTGGCCTTTTTAGCGTTTAGGGAACTGAACTGTCCCGATTGGACAGACGTCAACGTGTCTTTATCCAATCAGGATCAAGTCCTGCTGTGATGTGTTTCCTGGAGTTTGTCTGAAACTTCCAGAGAGCCTTGAGAAAATGTGTTATTACTATTCAATTCAATCAATTACTATTGTATTGATTCTCAATAAACCACCGACATCAATAGATAAGCAGTGTGGTACATTGCATGAGCTGTAAAGCTTTGATGAAGGTTAAATGTGACAATCAGCATCATAATGAAGTACTGTAGATGTTTGTTGGCTGCAGACCCCCTAAAATGTCACATCATCGTGATTTGAATTGTTTTTTTTAAAAGTGAAAATTAAATCTGTGATGGAGAAATGATCATGCCATTCTTCTTTCTGCTCTGAGTTCGTTCCAGTTTACACAACCAGCCTTCAGTGATGATGATGGAGCTGTTCAATAAATGACTCAGCTCCTGCGATGTGTTATTTTCCTCCGTCATATTAAAGGTCTGAGTAGGCACTTTCTGACTTCTGCACGCTCTGCAGCCAACCCCCCCCAAAACAGCCTGATTAAAACTTAAACCTGAAGCTCATCACTCATCCACCGGTTTACTTTGGGAATGATTCTCCGCTTCGGACAATGATTGGTTCACTGAGCTCTGAGGCTGTTATGATAGCTGCTGCATTAACATTGGCATCGAAAGCGGCTTTAAACACACACACACACACACACACACACACACACACACACACACACGCCGTTAATTGAAGTTTATTGAGTTTGTAAAGATCTGGGAAGTTGCTTGCCAACGCTTTTAACTGTGAAAAGTGTTTGTGAAGATCCAAGGACACGAACAGATAGAGAACAAGGACAGGAGCGACTGGAGATTAAATGGGTTCATCACACTCTCCAAGAAACTGGGCCAGGGCCTCTGTCTGTGTGTGTGTGTGTGTGTGTGTGGGTGTGTGTGTGTGTGTGTGTGTGTGTGTTCCTGACTGTAAATATATACTTTATATTTATAGGTTTGCAAACCTCAACATCTTCTTTTTAGTCCATTTATCGTTCTTTGAAGGGAATCTGGTTCACAGAAGGTTTAAAATAAACCACAAAGCATTATGGGTTCATTATAGCAGAGAGAAAGAGTCCGTTGCTCTGTATGTTGTGAAAAGAGGTCAGAGGTCAGAGGTGAAGCTTGTTTTGTTAGTGACATGATAGAAATAACACTGTAAAAATAAGTAGAAGAAGTGACATACCTGTGTTTTGAACAGTTTCTCTCAATACCAGCATATCAACTGCAGGTCTGTTCAGTGATCCAGAGTCGAGCTTCTGCTTCGATTTAGGTTTAAATTCGAGAAAGAATAAAATCATCGTCGACAGCCCTTAGTGTATAATTACCTGAAAATAAGACTCCTTGTGTTTGCCCTCCATGTTGTTTCTACAGTAACCAAACGCTGGCTCTACACAGCCACCGTAGTTTCTCCTACGCGCTGGAAAAGGCTGAGCTGTATTCAAATGTTTGGAATAGATTTCACTAAATCCTTCACACTCGTCCTTTAAAGTAAGATCTAAACAGACTTTCTCACACCTGTTTGAATATTTTCCAGCCTGTTTAGCTTTCTTTATCCTTTGTGGAGCCGTGAGCAGCTGGATGAACCTCTGGCAGACGGTGGAGGGTTCAGACCTGCAGATCTTTACAGCCTGTACGTTGATGACAATTTGAGAAGATTGTTGCTTTATTTCCTGGTTGAGTATTGACTACTGAGCATTATCACAGCACTGTGACCTCTGACCCTCGCTGTCCTTCCTGCTGGTTGCTTTCCTACCTGTATGAACTATAGTTAGTTAAGGGAGCTGTGTACTGGGACTTATGTGTGGGATTGTTAGCCTCAAGCTATGTCGGTGACTTCTGAACTGACGCTGCTGATCAGTCAATGATTGCCAAACAATCATTTACACGCAGCTACGTTAGTGTGTCTGCCAGGGGTGACGGAGAGCATGCTGGGAGTTTTTCTTCAAGGGCGATGCAGAAGGTTAGGACAAGTCGCCTTCCAGTGGATGTTGTGTTTAAGGGACCTTCAGATCCAAACATGTGTGTCCTTCCTTGGGTTGGCTTTCTTCTGATGTTTGTCCTGTTTGACTTCAGTAAAACCGGCGAGGAACGCTGGCAGATGGATGGCCGCCATTAAAACGGTTGTTTCACGCTGTACAGGAAGAGTTTGGGGTCAATTTAAAGCCTTTTCCACACACACGTGCTGGCTTGAAGGTGTATCTTTACAGGCAGGGGACCAGCAATGGTTGAGAGAGCTCAAGATTGAATGAATAACACGGCCAACTTCATCCGTGCCGTACATAATCTTGTTATTGGATCAAAGCCACTAATTTGGGGATAAAAACATTTCATTTCCGATAAATTCTTCACAATAAAAGTCCCCGGGTATTTTCTTGTTTTCAGCAAAATCAGGAAACGTTTGGTTGTCTTCAGCAGCGAGTTCATCTGAAAGCCAACACGAAGCAGCAGAATGAAGCAGCAGAATAAAGCAGATATCTGAAAGTACGAACAGGGACGCTGGAGAGAAACTGGAAACCACAGAGATTCAGTTAGAAGCTACAAAAGTACCGAGAGCTGAATGCTTTTAAAAAACGTCTTATGTACAGACATGAGTTGAGTCTCCGAACACAGGGCGTTGGCTGCGGTTGGCGACCCGCTTCTGGAGTCTTAGGCCCCTGCTCCATGATTCATCTCAGGAAACGGCTCAGCACGTTTAAACTGGCCTGGTCTTTACCAAATTTATTTTGAGCAGCACCAGATATTACGTATTGATATGATATTAATGCTTCATACAATAACAATATCAGAGCTGACTGACTGTGTTCTTCATCATCTAAAGGTTTTTTTTCTTCTTCTTCATCCCGTCAGCTCCAGGCCCAGAAGCTCCGTCTTGCGAGGAGTCAGGGTCCGTACTACAGCGGCTCGCTGCCCAACGTCAACCAGATCGGCAGGAACCCTCAGGACTTCCAGGTGACGCTCTCAACCTCTGACGCTGTATTTTTGTTTTCATTCAGCTCACTTTAACTCTCGTGTTACTGGCAACCGCCGCCTCAACTACCACTATGACTGTAGACCTGATCTGTTGCTACTACTGTTACTGTCATTATCCACAAGTACTACGCCTGCAGCAGCTTCAGTTTTTACTGCACCCACTACCACAGTGACTATCTGCACTTCTAGAAGAAGAACCGTACAAATAAAGATAGAATAGAAATGCTAGGACAGAAGCAGCTGTTGTGAGTTGGTGATCCTGTAGTGCTCTGAGGACACAATCTGCTGTGTCACCACAATCTTCAGACCTCCACTCTTCACTTCTGAGTCATCACTGTTTCCCATCAGCTCCGCAGAGCCAAACTCATTCTGTAATGGAAGTTTATCATCAATATCATTGTGTTTCTCCTCTGCTGATATCACAGCTGAGTCTCAGCCTCCTCCTCCTACTCCTCCTCTTCTGTCTCTTGTGGTCAGACCGAGATTAGATTAATGTGCCTGCAGGTAGCGGGATGTCTTTGGCTCCTCGGTTCCACTGAGCTCCGCTGGGAGTTGTGAGGAATTTTGGGAGGTTGAAGTTACTGTCTTTTTATCACCCCAACATAAAGGCAGCTAGCGATAGAGTGATTAATCAGCCAATTATTAGTCATTTGGAAAGAGCCGGTCTCTGCGGATGCCTGGGCTCACAAGGCAGACACATCTGCAGTTGCACGCACGCACAGCAGCTGCAGCCTGGATGACGACGCTGCTCTGTAACTGTGAAATATTCCTGATCTCAGTATTGATCAAAATAATCGGGATTATCATTTTGGCCATACTCGTTCAGCTCTACCTAATCTATTCTGAAAACTGTGACTGGTTCGTGTTAAATTGATATTATATATATGTAATGTAGAGAATAATGCAGTTGGACGCTGATAGACTGTACCCTGATCTCCCTTAAAGCAACATCATGTAACTTTTCGACCTTAAAATAACAGTTTCACTATCGTTTTGATTTCAACCTGAGATGTAACAGGGTGAATGGTGCCTCTGTCGTTCCCGCTGTGCGCCCTGTACGCCTGTTTACGGAAGTAGTAGCGCCCCACCAACCAACCATGTCACTGATTTTGGTGGAACTGGATATTTTTATGAAGAAAATGTTGTGGTGTTGTGTCTGTTTTCCCTCTGATGTCCTCCAGCTGCTCCACCTCATTGTAACATCATGCATCATAACGGATGCACGTTGCAACTAATACCAAATCTCACAAAGTATTTAAATACAAGAACATGTTAGTGGCTAAGGCAACCATTTATATTAGATTGAAATGTGCATGGAATAATGCAGTTATACATTACCTTTCTTTGTTTTGATATTGGCATTATATATGGGCCTTTGAAAAACTCATATCGGTCCAGACTTAGTAGTTTTAAGGGGAAAGAAAGATTGAAGATTGCAGATCCAAATCTGTCATCGGATATTTTTATGAATAAATGGACAAACAGTAAAACCAGAAACCTTTTAGATTCTCTCTTTCAGCTCTCCGGCGCTCAGTGATAAGGCTGTAACACACTCAGGTCGGTCTGTGAACTATTTCACTTTCCAAATAAAAGTCTGACGTCCCCACAGCAGCCGGCAGTTGAAATTAGAGCTGCTTTTGGGGACAAGATATTACTCTGTTGAGCAGCAGATCTGTTTTATAACTTCTCTGAACGCCTTAGAATAAAAATAGTTAACCAATTTCCGAACACATCGGAAACAAACCAGGTCCTTTTTACTAAAATTCAACTAAAAGTCAACCACAGGAAATGTTTGTTACAGCCAACAGGAGGTTTATGAAAATGTCCTGGAAATAGATATTTGGAAACGAGTGGGAGCTCTGATGAGGGAGTTAATTTTATTTCTCTTTCTGTGTTTTTGTTTACTCCAGTAAGAGACATTAGATATGTTGATGTTGGCTTATTTGGTTTCTCTCTCTCCCTCTCCCTCAGGGCTCCTTCCCATCCAATCTCGAGTCCAACCGCTCTACTCGGCATCATGGCCTGGTGGAGCGAGTCCAGAGGGACCGTCGTTTCATCTCACCGGTCCGACCATACCGCAACCGACAAGTATCCTTCACTTTGCTGTCAAATCTAAATCTACAGGCTGTTAAGGGACACGGCTGAAGTTAGATGTTTTTATTTTTGTCAAGAAATCTCAGAAAAAGACCCAAACCGCTTCTCAATACTCTCCCGGCTCTCAGCTCCACGTCCACTGAAGATGTAGATCTTCAAAAACACGAATGTAAAGTTTCATCTAGAAAAGTATTTATCAAACAGGAGCAAATAGTGTATTTGTTGTTATTTTCAGCAGCAGTTTAAACTACATTTGGTGCTCTGGTGAGTATTTGGGTTAGCAGGCCGGTGTATAAATACACTACAGTGTGTGTGTTCGTGGTAATGAAGGAACATGTGACTCAATGCAACAGTGTGTGTTTTTTAAAGGTTATATATATATAAATATATAAGAGCTTTTAAACATTAATATATCAGCTAACAGCTATTCTCTATATACAGATACAGAGTCACATGGTGTCTCTCTCCCTCTGCCTGTGTTGTATCGCAGCCTCTCTGTGGTTTGTTTCCATAGCCGGTCTGCTCCAACTGAAACTGCTGTTTTTATCATCTACGTCGGTGAATTAAGGATTTATTTCCACCAAACCAGAGTTGGTGATTGTTGGAAACACTAACAGAGACGCTTTTAATGAGTTTTATTCTGTTTCTGTCCACTTCGAATGAAGTTCTGATGATCTGAAGGTAAAATGAGTGTTTCTGTCTCTGGAGTCTGGTGGAGAGTGATAGTGATATTACGGCTGTTTGTGGTTGAACTAAAGGTCTATCTCTGTAGGGATCCTTTCCACAATGCTGTCAGACTCAGGTTGTTATTGTCAGTGTCTGTCAGTGGCAGAAACAACTACTGTTAGTGGACGAACTCTTAACAGGTGCATTTTCGCACCAGGATTAGCTAACGTTACATGGCAGCCCCCCTCAGTGGCTTTTTCTCATCTAACTGTGAATAATAGGGTTATTTCTACCAAACCAGCATTGGTGATTGTTGTTAAGACTATCTACGACAGATTTGTTGAGTTTTAGTTTCTTTTTCGTCCAATTTTGAAGTGTGTTTTCTAATTATCTTCTAAAATATAAATACTGGTTTTGTCAATGGAGTCTGGAGTCTGATCTGAAATACTGGGGTTCTAGTGTGGCATATCATGGCAGTGAATTTAGTATACACAACTTTAATAGTTTTTGGATAACAATGAAGCTCTGTGGCACAGAGGAAGAAGATATATCAGGCTCCGATACACATACACTCGTTAGTAGTGATGATCCATTAAAAAAACCTCTATTTGAAGCAGATTTCCACCTCATTCAACCCTCAAACAACTGGGGCTCTAACAGTTCAACAGCTAAAGTGTATTTATTTGTTTCACTCTGTGAATTCCCCTGTCAGTTCCATCTAAATCATCAAACAATGCGCTGTTGTGAAGCTTCATACAGAGACAGTATTTTATTGTGTGTGAAGTTTGCTGTATGTCTTCTTGTAGTCGGACAGTTGTATGTTTTTAGGTCACAGCAGCAACACAGCGCGTTTTTATTCCAGAGATCCTCTGCAGGCTGAACATCCATTAACTTCCTGTTTTAAAATGATTGTAAGGAGGCAGCAGCCTTGTGTTGACGTTTATCACTGAGTGGAAGGGCTTTCACGCCCTTGAGCAAGGCACATGCAGTGTCAGTATAACTGCAGTTGAGAGTTGTCTTGAAGTTCCGTTGCTCTTCATTGGATTTCTTTGTTGTTTTCTGAAATAATGATTACAGGTTTTATAGAGTTTCAGCTGCAGTTTGAAAACAATAAATGAGACACAAGAAGACCTAAAAGCAGCACTTCTCCTTTAAATGATGTGTTAATAGGAAACCGTTAAAGTTTACTGTCTATTGTTTGATCTCTGATGTGTCTAAACAGGATTTTTAGCTTTTTATCCGCTGATTACAGTGGTTACTCTCTGTGGGTATTTGTTTCTCTGCTGTCTGAAAGTAAACAGGAGTAAACAAACCTAATAGCACGTTTCAACTGCAGGAACTCAAAATATAATGTGTATCCAAAGTCACAGATTCTTATTTTGTTTCCACCGATCCATTGTTCCAAGTTTCCGGTACTTTTCATTAACTGCTGCATGTTAATGGAGCTGGATAACTAGCAGTGGAGAATGGTTGTTGGACAAGCCGACACATCTTCAGGCTTCACCTGTGATTGTGAAGAAGAGGACATTCAGAAGGAGCTGTTATAAACCAAAAGGTGGACCAGAAGTCTTACTCGGTTTGAAACGATGAAGGATTGTGCTATGAAGTGGCTGAATGAGCTAGAAGCTGTTCTGGGCCACCAGGATGTCCAGGTTGACTGCCTGTCATTTTTTTAAAAGCCTTTCTTCGTCATCTGTGATGTGAAATCATCAGTTAGTGCACCTCGAAGCGTCTCTCCCGCCGGGCAGCAGACTAGAGCCACACAGCCCTCCGCTTCTATCACAGTTATAGTTTTGTGGTTTGTGGTCAGTCATCATTATGGAGGAGTCCTCTTCCTCCTGCAGGCGCGACCCCGCGCCTGAACCAAACAGAGTTTTTCCAGCATGTGAGAACAAATCTGACCGTCTTCAGTGTGTTGTTGTTTTTCTGTGCTGCCCATTATTCTTCTTCCTATGGCATTTAACGGCAGACTAGAACACTTGTAGTTAGGGCTGTGTATTGGCAAGGATCTGGCGATATGAAAACGATATGAAAACACAACTGTATCAGAGATTTGGGTGAAACTGGATCAGATTTTATGGAGAGAATAATGTCTGGTTTTCCCTCTGACGTCCTCCAGCTGCTCTGCCTCAACTGCACTAACTGCTAATGTAGCTGCCATTAACATTAGCAACTGAACGGGGCTCAGCAGCCTCCCAGTGAACACAACCTCAGAGACAGACAGAGGACATTTTGACGACAGCGGTACCGAGGTGATTTATGGGAGTTTCCAGATGGACTTGTTGCTAAAAGAAACTAACTGTTGCCCTCCAGCATCAGGTGCATTCAGTCTGTTCACTGGGAGCTCCCAGTCCGACAGAGTGAGCTTAGGTTTTTCAAAACACCCCTATGTAATACGTATATGCTGCCCCATCGGGTCTGGAAGAATTGCATCCCTTCTCATTTTTGCATCGACTTTGAACCGAACGGTTCTCAAGACATCCCAGAAAAAGGATGAAACCTTTTGAAGGTGGCAGGAACCTGAATTGAAGCAGAAGTGTGAGGTGTGAAGAGGTACGTCCATCCACTCTGAGCGTCCAGTTGCATCACTAAAATGTCCCCGATTGTTAGAAAGGCTGGACTTCTACTGCAGAGTAACTGTAGAACTGTGTGTTTAGTTCAGGGACTGTGCGCCACCTACTGGCTGGCTGTATTAATGCTCCCGGTTAGAAGGAAGACAGCAGAGAGCACAGTTGCCGTGTTCTCGTTAATGCACAGCTGACAGAGCTGTGGAGTTGTCCCAATTAATGTTGTGTGTTTTGAATACTTGTAAGTACTTCCTCTTTGTTGTTCTTTAGGTTTTGTGTGGAGACAGCTCTTTCTCCCTAATTCAAGTGCTTAGATTACCATTTTGCCTGTATGCTAGCTACTATGCTATTTAATTAATGTTAGCTCTAGCCTGGTCGTTTATCTGTATTATTATTATACTATATATTCCATTGTAATATGGATTTATGCTGTTGTTTATCATTTAAGATTATAAGTGTGAAATGATGTTATTAACTTCATGTTACTGATTAGTGATGTTAATTATCCAATTAAGAGCTGCAGGTTATTATTGACATTGAAGTTAATATAAGTAGTTTCTCGCTCCGTTAAGCCTTACAGGATGATTGTAGTATTTAATGTGTGAAAGGGTGTACATTTTATAGTTATACGGTTTGTCTGATAACACTGTACTTGTTATCTCTCTTCCTTCTGTAGAACCACAACTAATATAATAGTCATCTACATCTGTCATCATCACTACACCTACATCAAAAGCCTACAATAAAGGAAGTATATTGGATTCTGGATTGTTGAATTGTGTTCTGACCGACACACAGTGGCGAGTGTAACAGATCCACCGGCCTCAGTTTGTATATTTGCGGCTTCACAGCTACACCGATTGTAAAGTACAGGGAAAACACAAGGAAAAACCTTGTCACAAAGCCTAAAACAAAATCTGGTTATGGGAGACCTGTTTGCAAGTTGTTTAGTTCCTGCAGTGGAAAAAAGGGTTCAAGAGGCTCTGCGAGTGTCATTTTCAAAGACGTCAGTGGTTTTGATGCGTGCATATACAAAAAGTCATCAACTTATAAAGGATCACTAAGTATTAAAGTTGAGTAGCTCAAACCACTGTGGACTTTGTGCATCACCCAGTCTGTTCAGTAGAAAGTGTGAGAGTGGAGCTGGGAACAGTCTGAGTGTGAAACTGTGCAGTCGGTGCTGAAAACTGTTTTCAAAGAGGGAAACTGTGGATCAGGGCGTTTAAATGTTCTCCTTTTTATAAGTTTATCATCTGAAGCAGAGAAGTAGAGACAGTTGTCTTATTTTGGCTGAACTGTGACTTGATTCTGGACGGTGTGCTTTGTTTAACTCCCCCTTATTTTTCAGGAGAATTTGGTTAATACATAGAAACTGAGAAGTTTTAATCATATTGAAACCTGCAGACACTTCGTATGAAGTAGAAACAGAAAGTGAAAAAGATCCTCTTCAGTCTGTGTTGTTGTTCCCTTAACCGGTCGTTTCCTCAGATGGACAGCTCGCCGTATAACTCCGCCTACCTGTCCCCGCCTCCAGACCCCAGCTGGAGAAGGTACTGTCTGTTAACTTCCCCTCTGTCTGTCTGTTGGTTTGTCTGTCTGTCTGTCGGGATTTTTGTTATTTCCAAAGCATCTTGTTTGAGTCTCCTCCGCTCCGAAACCTCTCTGAAGCCTTTGTGACACCTCAGATGGTTCAGAGGTTGAAAAAAACCAAAAACCCAACAGCAGCATGGGTAGTACATCGCAACTTGGTAAGATCACAACAGAGGTGTGAAAACATAATGACACAAACATGTCAATGGTATCTCCAGGTCCCTTTAAAAACTCAAAGGAATGAATGCAGATGTCTAGACATGAAAGTGTTCTTTTCCTCTCCACATACTGTTTCTTAGGTTTGACTCTCGATCCTTTCCAACCCTCTCTGCATCTTTAGGATCTTTAGAGTGACAGCGCAGGTCAACATTATAAAGCCACATAGAAGTGATATAGGTCATCTGAAAGTAGGGAATCTGAGGATCAATTTGAGATCTCTTTTTATATAAAAAAATCATTAATAATTGTGTTTTGTTTAGGCGCCTACTCAAATATTGAGAGCGTCTATAAGGGTTTAGAAACATTATGGGTTCAGTATGTGATTCCTATGCTCAGTTTTCTCTCTGTTTTTGTTGCAGCAGTTGCCCTCAGTCTCTAGTTTGTGCTTGTACAGTTTCATGAGGCTGTGATTTTCCTCAAGGTCACAAAAGGTTGTTTTACACAGTGAGGTCAAGTTTTTTTTTTTTTTTTAAAAAAAAGGTCTCACTACATACCCAGTTCATGAATTTCCACTACCAGTATGCAGAAATATGCAGAATAACACACATACTGCTTGGGATTAGCATAAAGTGGGCACGTCCGCAAAGGTCAGAGGTTAAGGGAGCGTTATCTTACCCCCCTTTGGTATTAAAGGTATACTATGCAGTTTTCCAGTTTTGTCAAACAGCTAGAGTCGCTGCGGAGTACTTGTATTTAACGTTAACTGTCGTAAATACCACTCACGACTCACGACCTGATCCCCTCCCCCCTGTATACCGGTAGATGTTCAGTAGGATGGAAGCGTCGGACATGGGGGTGGGCGATATGGGCAAAAAATAATATCTCGTTATTTTGGGGGATTTCGGCGATAACGATAATCAGTCGATATCCTTTAGAGTGTGATTGGAATTGTCTGAGTTAGATTTTGTGTCCACCAAATGCGTTTTTAGCACTGAGAGCGCTCAAAAACTAGTTAGTCTTCTAGTGTCTTCCATTGAGGCTGCTTATTATGTCGCTGATGTGTGTGACGTCGCGCCGGCAGGGCGCCACCTTTCAGACTGGCATTGCTGGTTCTGCCAACGGCGTCCCTCTCCTGCTTTGCTATCGGGATGATTCGCCATTGAAATGACTTCGAAGCCGTTATATTAAGGTAAAAATCTTGCGTAGTGTGCCTTTTAAACTGAGACTTTCGTAACCCTCCTTGCGGTACGTTTAAGTAAAGTGGCAGTGAGGTGCAGTCACTAGAAAGACTCTAAAGATGCTCCCCCCCTCTCCTCAATCATGCTGAAGTGTCCTTGAGCAAGTCATTGAACCCCCCCTACCTACCTCAGGGCTGCATTCTCTCTCTGACATCTGACTGAATTTGCACTAGAAAATCCCTCTTCAGGATCACATGAGGTGACACCAAGGCTTCACAAAGGTTTTCATGGATCCAAGTGAGGCTGCTGCTTCGGTTCATCTGCCTCCACCGCACCACCACTAACCTCTAGACAACTAACAGGAAACAGAGTTGACTTTAGCCGGCGTCTCTCCAAACCTGAGTTGGTTTTGAAGAGCTCTCAGTTCTTTTTTTTTTTTCCTTTTCTCCTTCTGGGAATCTGCCTTTTTTCTTTTTCTTTTTGGCTTTTTCTTCTGTTTTCTGCAACGTTTCAGTCGTTTAATTTTCGCTTGCCTGCCTGCGTTCTTTCTGGTTTTCTTCTAACAAGACAACAGTTACCCTTCAGAGAGAGACTGGCCTCGGTCCACGGTCACAGAAGGTCAACTGCACAGCACAACGCACACACATTAGGCTGGCAAATGACCTCCAGCCATTTCCTAAAGTCTGACAAGTGAAGACTGGTTAGGTTCAACTCACCCAGCTGTCACTTTGTCAGGGCGCCAACCACCGATTGGACTCTTTCTAAACATTTTCTGGTAAAACAGTCAAATCCCACCTGCACTTTGTCTTCAGTCGCCTGAGAGGAAGAACTGAGTAATTTCTTATGTTTGGTTCTGGTTTGTTGAGGCCCAGATTGGCTAATTCCAAGAGACGCAGCGTTTGTAGACAAGAAGTCGAAAGGAGTGTGTGTTTATCCAACAGAGATTTGGTAACCGGTCGTCCTGCCAGGTTGGAGATTTTGGTCAAAACAAAACAGAGTCCAGTTCTTGTAACTGCAGCTGTGCAGGATTGGAGGTTGTCCGTGCTTCTCTTCTTCCGCGGTGGTAATGCCAGCTAAAGGACACAAGTCTGGACTTATTCCATATTTTTCCTAATTCTAAACAAATGGCATGAGAAAAGACCCAAGAGTGTGTGAGTCAACTCTCTTACAGCATTACACAAGACACCAGTACACACGGAGGAAGCATTGAGTTGAGCAAACGAAAACAGGATCAGATAAGAAACAAGGGAGGCCTCTTACTAGCATTTGATAAGATATCGTTATGAAATGATTAAGAGAAAAAGCCTGTCAAATAAAGGGCTGGTACTCTTTGCACTGGAAGGCAACAAAGGTCCCACTTTACTGTAGAACTCATTCAGATTTAACAGCTCAACACATTAATAATCCAAATGTGATCTGTGCAGGAGAGATTTTCAGCGTCACTCACCGTTAAAGAACCGCTTGGCTGAAGGCTTTTTTCCCCTAATGCAGTGAAGAGCTATTCACCTGTGTTATCTAGGGAAATGTAAGCAGCATATCGGCAGATATCCAGTATTAAATAACTCGGGGTGCAAAAACTTTTGGAGCAAGCCAACTTTCTTCTACCTCTGCTACAAGACCCAAGGGACAGATCTGACTTCTCCACTCTGAGGATTAACTGCTTTTGTGCTTTTATATATTTAAATAATAGCCTTTATTTATATTATAGCACTTTTCATGCAGAGGTTGTTGCTCAAAGTGCTTTGCAAAAGAGTGAAGAGACAAGAGAATGAATAAAAGACAAAGCAAATTAAAACAGGCATCACATAGCAAGAACAGGTATGTTAAGAACAATAGAATATGTGAAGAGGTCAATAAAGCATAAGAACAATACTGACTCCGCTTACGATTTTCTTATTTGTGTGATAGTTTGTATTTTTAAAAGCATCTAAGAGGCTGTGAAGGATTATATAACGACAATCTGTAATCTGTAATCTAGGCCGGTCCCAAACCATTAAGAGCCTCGTAAACCAGTAAAATATTTAAAAAATCAATTCTAAAATGGTACCAGTGCTGGTTAGCTAAAACTGGAGCAATACGTTCTCTCTGTTGTGAGAGTTCTGAATTAGTTATAATTTATTGATGGATCAATAATTATAAAGTAAATATCTTTGGGACATTTGAAGACATCAAACTTTTATAGGCTAATCAAAAAATGCTAACTTGCCCGACTTAATGAAGGTTACTTTAGTTTCCTTTGGACGCTGTTGATGTATCAGACATGATATTGTGTAATATCAAGATCATTCTGATGAGCGTATAAACTTTCAATCAGTTTGAACACACAAACTAACTTTACGCTGGCTTCACGAGCCTCCGTTGGTCGCATCCGGTGACAAGCCAGCCTCCCTCTGTCCTTCAGCTCGCTGCCTTCACCTTCCTCCTTCCTTCGCTTGCTTTCCGAGCGCACGCTCTTCTTCTTTTTGCTCCTGCTCATTTAATTATTTTTCTCCTCTTCGATGTTCTTGCTCGGTGGAGGAAAATAACTTTTTGTTCTTGTCGGTCATGAAAAGGAATTGGTCCGGAAACTTCCCTGGGGATAAAAGCCAGTTGTTTCGTCTCCCCACCACTGCACTCAACAGGTGAATCCTCCTCATCCTCTTCTTTCTCTACCTCCCTTTTACTTCCCTACTGTTCTTCCTTCTGCTGGATGTCCTCCAGCTCCCGCCTTGAGAGTGGAAGCCTTGTACAGAAAATGAGAATGTGTCCTGTCAAACTTTACTTTGGAACATTTTATTTCTTTTTTTTTTTTGCTGATTATTCCTGTAACTTTATAAATTCTTCCTTCTCTGTTTTATCCTTCCAACGTCTCTCCTATTTTCTTATCTGCATTACCTGAGCTCCAGTTAAGTAAATACATCTGCAAAGACCAGGGTACACTGAAAGTAAACTGAGGCATGTCAGTTATCGGCTCACTTCAGGAGACCAAAGAGGTAATTTTCTGTAGCAGAATCCAACCAGAAACAGCTGTTTCTAGCTGCTGGGTCCCTTTTTAAAACTCTAACCTTATTGTAGTTTGGACTAGAACTTGCTGAATTTAAAAATGTGCATATAAAGTAATTTGCTTTCAGTAGCCTTATCTCAGAGGTTTAGTATTTTCAGTCTCATTTCTTTCTGAAGAAACCTCTTGAAGATTAAACATCCTGCTGTCGTGTGTGAGAAGAAACTAAATATATTTTAACATGTGTCTCTCCGGTTGGTATCTTCAGCTGTTGTGTTTTACCTTGATTTCACACTGTGTTGGAGAACAAAGACTCACCTGACCTCCTTCTTCTTCTTCAAAAGCTTGTTTGTTCTCTGGTTTTCTCTTTCTCCTTCTCTCTCTCTCGACGTCCCCAAACACTGTATGTCTCTCGCCCCTCAGGACCAACTCCGACTCGGCCCTCCACACCAGTGTAATGAACCCTCCCACAGGAGACCCCTTTACCACGGGAGGACCCACCCTCACCCCCCAGAGCAACAGACGCACAGGTGAGGCAGCTCTCCTGAACAAAAACACTCACAACTGAATAATATACACGACCAAGAGAAACGGTACTGGAAATGTAACTTTTGTTGTGTTATTTTAATAACTGGAAAGCCTCTTAAAAGTTAAATGGGGAAATAAAAAATGAGCTACTAGGAATAGAAATATACCCTCCTCTCCTCATTCTCTGGAAAACACTCCATCTTTGTTAAACTGCTCCCAATAACCAATGTGCTGGTTTAAGTAATATGTTGCCTGCTAACAGTTGTCAAATCATGATGCTTACCTCTTAAATGTAATACCTGGGGATCACCATCGGCTCCAGAAACCCTGACTTTGAGCACCCTTTCCTAGAACAGACCAACCAAGCACTGGCTCTAGATAGGATACTTGAATTTGAGCCTAATGAAGATCTCTGTTGTTGTTATAAACAGGATTTTGGCGTCTGAATTAGATGAAATGGGTCTGCCTTTGTTACGTAGATTTAAAAAAGGCTCCTCTTTTTGTATTAAAATGTACATTTGTGACAATTTTACGCACCCAACAACAAACATCCAGCAAGCATTTTTTTTCCCGGTTTCAAAAGCTGAAAGGGTGAATTAGCCTTTGTAGCGAAATACATTTGTGTCTCGTCACTATAACAATGATGATTTACTTTTACTACTATTTTTGCAGACAGGGCCAGGTGACAGCGTGTGAAACAAAAGAATAGTGGTCTAAGTACCGATCCCTGAGGGACACCTCAGCCGGATTTTATCTTGCTAGCTCAGTTTTTGAACAAATTGTTGATTGTTTTTTAATGTGACTCACTATTCCTCCAAACTTTGTTCATAACTTAGTACATATATAGCTACACACAGACAAACACACTGCATACATCAGCAACTGCATGGTCTGGTTCACACCTCAGATTTGGTTTTGAAACTGGTTTTGAAACTGATTTTGCTGGATAGTTTAGGAGAAATGTCACATTTCCGGAACAGTCGCTACGTCTTTATAGTATGAAACTCAGAAGCAAAAGGCCAATAACAGTCCAACCGGTGCCCTCTTCATCCAATGAGGTGAAGGAAAGGTTTATGTTAAAGTTTATCTTCTACTATTGTCTTCCTTGAGGTGACTCATATATGGCATCTTACAACCACAATGACGTGAAGTGAAAATGGTGTGATGTCTCTGTCAGGCGAGTCAGTGCAGATTCAGTGCAGAGTTTTTTTTTCTCTCTCTCTCTCTCTCTCTCTCTTTATTTTGGATGTGATGTGGTGACCTGTTCATTGTTAGAATAACTTTTCTGGCCCGGACTGAACGGCTCACACGTTTCCTCAGGATAAAGATCTCAGTCTAAACAGGTTTTCCTGCCAGCAGATCCAGGATGTTCTGAATCTGAATGTAAACTGAAGCCAATATTTCCAGCTCAGTCTAACCTTGTCTGTCTGTCTGTCTGTCTGTCTGTCTGTCTGTCTGTCTGTCTGTCTGCAGGTCAGAGTGATGGAGAGGGCAGAAGAAGTGAGTTATATACAGCCACATTAATTCACACACACGCAGAATCATCTGAATATTTTATTTATTATAATAATATGATTGGGATTGTGGGTAATAATTGTGAATCTATGTCAGTTTTCATAGAATATTTATAAGTTAAAGTTTAAAACAATTTATGAGAAATTCACGATTATGAATGTGTAGGAAAATGTTTAAAGTTGAGAAAGAACAAGTGATTTTGTGACTGCAACTGAAGATTATTCCCATTATCGATTAATCTGCTCATTATTTTCATTGTTTGGTCCATGAAACATCTGAAGATTCTGAAATATGCCTTTTCACAATCTGATAGATAGATAGATAGATAGATAGATAGATAGATAGATAGATAGATAGATAGATAGATAGATAGATAACTTTATTAATCCCACAGTGTGGAAATTCATTTGTCACAGCAACATTTGAGTGAAATAAATAGGCTACAGATACATACATACAGCAGGTCCAAGGTCTTATTGTCTCTGGTTGTGCATGTGACAAACTGGTGGAAGGTTGGGAGTGTGGATGAGAGAAAAACGTGGTTGGAGGCCCCTGTGATTTATGATGAACACCTCCGGGTGTTTCGTTTGTAGTCCTGCAGTCACAGTGTGGATGACGTCACATGCTGCTTCTGCTTTCCCAGACAGAGGAATATAATCAGTGATGATGATGTAGGATGATGATGAATGATGATGAAGACCACTGTGAGGAATATAGACGGTGATGAAGATGATTAAGACCCCTGTGAGGAATATAGACAGTGATGATGATGATGATTAAGACCACTGTGAGGAATATAGACAGTGATGATGATGATTAAGACCACTGTGAGGAATATAGACAGTGATGGCGATAACACTGGAAAGTTCCCGTGGCAGATAACACGGAAGAAGTCCGACGGCGACAAGCTCGTTGTCCGGGCTGCAGACGCTCTTTCACACAGACATGCCCGGCGTTATACCACCTGTTGTTTATGAGCACGGACAGTCCCCCTCCTTTTTTCTTGCCGGTCGCGGTGGTGTCCCTGTCGGTTCGAACCGTCGGGAAGCCGGGAATGGTGACGATGGAGTCCGGTATCTGCTCGATGATTGCACGGATGTAGAGTTTAAACCTCCTCTTCTTCATCCTCCTCCGTTTAACCCCGCTCTGCAGCCTCACCGTCTCCTCAGCTCCTCCGGTATGGAGGGTCTCTCTCCAGTCAGGATGCTCGGGTACCTCAGGGAGATCATCTGGTCGCGGGTATAAACAATGCGACTTGCCGTCGCCATGGAGACCCGTGCAAACAAAAAATAAAAAGTGCTCAAAAACGCCGAAAAAGTATTTAGGCGACGTGAACAAAGTAGTAAGAAAACAGTTAAAAATAGAAAAAAAACACACTGAAACTACAACAATGATAGGAGCTGCCATGACAGGCTGCCGTTGTCGCTGGCGCCATTCCAGGAAGGAATATTTCCTTCTATATTCTATAGCTCCTAACGATATGTTTTAAATTATCCAAAGTCCAAACATATTCAGTTTATTATAATTTAAGAAAATTAAAGGCAGAAAACAATTACTTTTTAGAATCTTGACCCATCAAATGTTTAGAATTTTTCAAATTTCAAAAGAGTTGCTGATTTATTGATTAATAGATTAATAATGATCAGCTCTTCTGTCCATCTGACTAATATAAGCAGACCACACAGTAACTTCAGTGTCCTGCATCGTGTGTTTAGGATTAGGTATAATTTTAAATATTAAGATACCAGTACCCTTAAAGTGATACCGATGCCAACAGAATACTTCATCTGATACCTGGTGTGGAAGAAGCCACTGGCCTTGCAAACATCAAGTTTTTTCCATGCTCGATGAGGTGTTTTATTGCGTTACTCGTAGTCCCAGTTTTTCCCGTAATGATTTTATACACAGGCGTTCAGTAAAACCATATTTTCAAACGTTTCTGTCGCACCCACAGCCTGTATGTAGCTGTAGCTGCTTAGGACAGAAATCATAATCATCGATTATTTTGATCAGTACTGAGATCATTTTATTTAACACGATTACTCGCTGACTTTGGAAACATCATGCAGTTATTTAACTTCTTTTTAATGTGTCTTTTAACAGTGTTTACTTACAATAATTTACGGATGTCCCGACCAAAAACAAAACAAAAACAACTAGATAAGTCTCGATACTGATGGTACTGGGTGCCTTAAAGTAACCGAGTACCAATACTAAGTCCTAATTGTGCGAGACACTAAAATTATACACACACAAGTTAAAAGTATAAATTGCCGTCCTGCTTTCTGCTGCAAAAGCAGGTCATACTTGTAACACACACGTTTATTTGGCACACTGCAAAGGTCTTTGTGGGGCCCCTTTCAACGAACTTGCAACATGCAAACCTTTGATTTGCAAGGTGAGAGTGATTTCCCCTCTTGCACGGTTTGACAAATCCAAACAAAACTCGTGACCCATGCGTGAGCCTGTGAGAGAGGCAGCCATCATTTTGTGAAACACGTGACACTGCCACCATTTGAATGTGCGTGGAAGCGGAGATATCAAGACAGGCTTCTTGCTGGAGTCACACGTTGCAGAGACGATCTCGGACTATGTAGTACGTCTGAGCAATTGTGACTACTGGGGACCCCCCCAACATTTAGAATTACTAACGCAGAGGTTTTTTATTAAAAAAAAGAGTGCTATACAACTACAGACTTTCTGAAAATAATTATCATTTCACAAGCTCTAAATCTTCTTAACCCCTATTTGAGCTCCTATGTATGTAATAATGTAAAGAGCTTGTGTTTTGTCCCTTTAGTGTTTCCATACCCTGTTCCCCCCATTGAAGAGAACGTGTTGGATGAGGGGAAACTGCTCAAACCCTGGGACACCAAGAAGGTAAAGACATTGTTGTATTTTACTCTTTTATTATTCTATAGCAATGTTTTATTTAATTCTGTAATTTAAAATGTCTGTTTAAACCTCAAATGTATTTATTATATCATTAGTTTTTGAAATAGTCATTCACATAGCTTGTGTTAAAAGTTCAAATTTATCCTGAATACAAAAACTAAAAACCTTATTTTTTAAAGTATCTGGTGTGTTTTTACATAACTACTATAAATTAGAAAACTGTGTTATAGCTTTTATAAATGAAAGACATTTATCTTCTCTCTCTCTCTCTCTCTCTCTCTCTCTAGTTGCCTCTGTTGTCGTCCCGACCCAAGTCTTGTGAAGTCCCCGGTATCAAGTAAGTTCGAACACCATTAAACACACACTGCATTAGGTCATAACCACTTCTTGACAGTTCTTTGGTGTGGCAGGAAATTAGATTTGTCCCTTCAACAAGAGTGGTGTCAGAGTCTACCTTCAGGCAGTAATCAGTTGCTCTGCTGCTTCCGTTGCTTTTGTGTTCTTCATCTCTATCTCAAAGTCACCAGAAAACCAAACCGCATCAGATATCAGACGTTCTCTCCGGCCTTTAACCAAAAAACATCGGAGTACTGGGAATTCTTCGAGGCACAGAACTCATGTGCATCTTATTTTACCGCTTACTGTGATTTAGTTACTGAAACTATTAAATTATACCTAAATATAGATATTTAGTATGATCTAAACCTCTGTTTCCTCTCAGTATCTTTACGTCCCCGGAGCAGCCATCCACGCCGGCTCACGGCGTTCCGTCAGCACTCAACACCGGGGGCTCGCTGCCGGACCTGTCTAGTCTCCACTTCCCCTCCCCGCTGCCCACACCGCTTGACCAGGACGAGCCCGGCTACCCAGGGTCCTCCTCTCTGAGCGGCGGGAGCAGCACGGGGAACCTGGCCTCCACCCTCACTCAGCTGGGCATCAACGCCGCCAACGCGCAGGGAGGCAACGGCAACTTCCACCACCACCACACACAAGGTAAACACGGGTCCGGGGACACGATAAGGTCATTGGGTGGACTGAAGCTCTTATTTGGGTGTTTCACATGGTTAGACTCAGTAAAAACTCTGAAAAAAGCAGTTCCACCTTAACAATCACTGCTTCTCCCACGCTGTTGGACAGACAAAGGACGTCCTGGAGGGGCTGCGAGCCGAGCTGCTGCTAACGTTAGCTCAGCTTGTTTCTCTGATAACTTAAGATCCAGACGTCCGATGACTAAAATCCTTCATCCGGTTCAAATCTAGAGTTAAAAAGCACCAAGATCTAAACAGTGGATGGTAACAATGTGGCTTCAGACTGGATCAACAGTCAATGTATGACAGCTTCTGGCAGACAACCGCAACGCTGACGCAGGCACAAAGGGGATATGACGCCATCGACAGGCGACCGGTGAAACGCAGTGTTACCTGAATAAGTTTGAACATTGTTGGAAACATTTGGGATAATGTAAGAACACAACTACATATAGAACATAGAGCCAGAGTTTATACACTTTGTTACATGTTATAGCTTTAGGGGCAGTTCGGATATGCACTCGGACTTAATAAAGAGAAACTGTCTTGAAACCAAGTAGTCATGGTTCAGTTCCTCTAGTGACTTCTGATTCTGCTGAAGTGTCTTCGGGCAAGACATCGAGCTGTCTGCCTGCTCACTTGTTATTAATCTGCCTGGATCAAAGCCTCAGCTAAGTGACTAATATGAAGGTTAGCAGAGGAAGTATGTGGGTGAGAGCGAATGAGATGAAACGAAGGGGGATGTACGGTGGGGCAGCGCTCTAAATTTAACCTCAGAGAGAAAGAAGGGAGGGTTTTTTTTTTTTGTGGGTTGAAACGCAGTCGGAAAATGTGTCTTACCGTTTGTGAGGTGACTGTACCAACCACAGACAGGAAGCTGCTCTGAGCTCAATCTCAGGCTGCAGGCCGCCTCTCCAAACTGAGTCTGGATCATCATGTTGTCTTTATAAGGTCGTAAATGGACGGACAAATTGTCCCCTGGAAGCTCGAGGGGAAGTCCAAGCTGAAAACCACAACTTCTAGTTTGAATGTGCTACTATAAAGATCTTGTATTTGTCACTTCCAACAAGTTTGAGAATTAAAATGTTTAAATTTGAGTTCCCTTTTTAAAAACAATATGTCACACAGTTTCCTAATTTAAAGCTCCAGTCGGCATTGAGGAGGATCTCTTGCGAGCTTCAACAAATCAGATCAATAAATCAAGTAACCAAACTCTTACCGAAGCCAGTCGGGAGCTGCCTTCAGTGTCGTTCGTTACTCTTCTTTCAATGAAGAAAAACTCTCCACTCCTGACATAACTGAGGCTAGCAGTATTGACGCTAACCTCTTTAGCAGCCGCCGTTTGTTGTTTAACGAACAGTTAAACCCCCGTAGCTGCCAGTACTTCCTTAAAGGGATTGGTTCGGTACCACTGGAGTCTGGCCACAAACGCATAGATTGAAGCCTGGCAAGTCTGGTGGCAAGTCCAGCAGTGGTGTCCTTCCATTAAATATTAGGGATGAGGGTCGAGGCCCGGTTCTATAAGGATCAGGAGGCCTGAGCTTATCGATGCTGCTGTCGAGACTACCGGGTCCTATAACGTTATGTACACTACCTTAAAACAACACATAATAATTAATGGGGCAGTTAAATTATATTATTAGGAATTAATCAGCATGATTAAATTAATAATAATAATTTATTTTGTATGTGTGGAAAGTTTTTTTTTGGATAAACTTTACAAGAAAAGATAAATGAACATTTGAAAGTCAGAACTGAAGAAAGTGAATCCCTAAAAGTAGTAAATGATTTTAAAGCACTCAATAAAAACAGCAGCCCGACACATTCAGTCCAGAAATATCTCATTTGTTTGTTGCCATTAGGTTTGGTACAGAGGGTAAGTCCTAATGACTTTGGTGATCCCCTAACTAAGTTGATCAGATATAAATATGAGCTTATTTATTCCCCTTTAAAAAAAAAAAAAAAAAAAAATAAGAAAAAAGAAAAAAATATAATATATATAGAGCTCTGGTGGGCGGAGTCAACCACAATCACTCATAGATAATAAATAAAATCAAGTGTAATAAGTGTTCAAGAGGAAAAATACAAACCTGGATTGGTTATTGATTGATATTTTGAGTCATTAATAAAAACATTCTCTGATTTCAACATCTCAAATGTGAATATTTTCTGCTTTCTTTGGTCCTCTGTGACAGTAAACTGAATATCTTTAGGTTAGGGACAAACAAGACCACCTTTTAACGTTTAATTGACCGAACAACTAATGTACAAATTAATCAATAATGAAAATAATCATTAGTTGCAGCCTTAAAGGAGACAAGTGACAGACGTGTAAAACAAACACTAAACCTACATGATGTCACAGGTAGGCAGTGCTCACTGTATAATTTAGTCTTTTGGTCAAAGATATGTCGTCCTTCCTGTTTTCAGGGACATTTTCTGGACTGAATCCGGTTGTTGTTCTTAATTTTTGTTGTTTTAGGGTTCACAAATTGTTGCTCTAAAACCAAAGCATCTGATATTGAATGCAGTCAGGTGTTGCTAATAACACAGATAGCAGAAATTACCATCATCTTGAGCTCAGCTAGAGGAAGTGTCTTGTTCCTGGTTTCAGTCGTAAACCAGGTCGGAAAGGAGACATGAAATGCAGTTTGTGGATGAACCTGACCTACTGAGCGTATATAAAAAGAAGCAGAGGAGGGAGGGAGGAAAGGAGAGAGAAAGGAGGTACAATAAGATAAGGCAGCTTGTGTTTGGGGACAGAGCTGATGTTTTCACCTGCTGGGATCACCTGGGGAGGGTCCGATTCCCCGAACAATAAACTGAAGCCACAGAGACAAAGAGAAAAGACTTTACTCCTTCAGACCTTGTTACTTAGTAAAGATTAATACAAATATATATATATATAAGCATCGGCTCGCTACCTCTGCTCAGTCTCGCTGGGTGGATCATCCTCAAGGTCCGCTGCTCTTTAATCCAAACCCCACGCTTTCCTTACCGGTGACTGCAGGACGTTTCTGTCTTATTAATAAGTTATTAATATGTGTTTCAGCAATAAAGCCGAAAACAGATTGAACAAAAACGGTTAAAAAGAGCTAGCTATCCGACTCAATCCGACTCAATCAATGATGTTTTCAGCAACAATGAAAGAGCGAAGAACAGAAGAGTTTTGTTCCATAATAGCACAAATATTTTATATGTATGTGTTTTATGATCTGTTCTGATTCACAGTTGAGGCTCGTTCCATTAATTGCAGTGTGGCAGCATTTAAAGGTTAATGGATGATTTTTGGTGAACCTGTTGTTGTTGAACTGATTTATTCATTTAATGGCTAATTGTGACACTAAACTTAATGAAAATGAATATTGGTAGCAGCTTTACGTTACATTCCCTCTGTTCTCTCCACCGTTTGGTCTCTGTGGACGTTGCGAGTACGTTTGCGTTCACAGTGTTTTTGTTTTGCCTCCTCAGGTCTCCTGGCGTCTCTACAGAGCACGCTCAGTAACCCCTCCCTGCAGTCGTCTCTAAGCAACCCCAACATCCAGTCTTCACTCAGCAGCCACTCTTTTTCCAACTCTTTGAGCTCCGCCTCCCTGCACTCGTCGCTCAGCAACCCCTCGCTGCAGTCGTCTCTCAGCTCCTCCCCCTCCCTGCAGTCCTCCCTCAGCAGCCAATCGCTGCACTCCTCCCTCAGTAACTCCTCCCTCCAGTCGGTGTCCAGCAGTAACCCCAGCTACAGCAGCGGCGTGGGCGGCTCCAGCTCCTGCTCCTCCTCCTACTCGCCGCTGCTCAGTGGACAGGGCCAGCCGCCACTCAGCACGTCGCCACGGAGACGAGCCCAGCTCTCCCCGCTCATCCTGCCCATGGGAGTGGAGTCACGAAGGCATCACTCCAAACAGTTCTCCCCCACTATCTCCCCCACCCTGTCCTCCATCACACAGGTAACACACACACTGATTCACAGTCGTCACTAACTTCTACAAAAGGCCTTAAAATGTATCAAAGAGCGGCGCCGCTGGTTGAAGCGCCATAGTTGAAAATGAATTTCCCTAAATACGCCGCGTGTGAAGCGACCTTAACTAACTGGAGTATACTCCCGAAGAATGGTGCTAACATCCACCCTCCCTTCCCACAGGGCGTCCCTCTGGACACCAGCAAACTGCCTCTGGACCAGAGGCTTCCTCCGTACCCACTCAGCCAGTCCCACCAACACCAGCCAGGCCCCCACCAGCCTCTCTCTGGTCTGCAAGGCTCCCAGCCAGGCCAGCAGCCTTCTCCGCTGGGCCAGCACCACCACCAACAGCTGCACCGCCTCCAGCAGCCGCGGCCCAACGCGCAGCAGCAGCAGCAGCAGCAGCAGCAGTCGCAGTCCATGCAGCAGTCGCAGTCCATGCAGCAGTCGCAGTCCATGCAGCAGCTCCACCTGCAGAACCTGCGCAACACACACAACCAGCACATGCAGCAGCACTTTGGAACGGTAGGCCGCTGGGTCATATGAAAGGAGATGAGATTGTCCAGATTAGTAGATTACATGGATTAGATAAAGATAGATGCATTTGTTCAACATACAATACATACACTCACCTGTGCAGTTCGGCTTACGCAGCGATTATGGCGTGTTTCTCTGCAGCAGCAGAGGCCGATGGGGCAGCAGGTGAACACGGCGAACGCGCAGCTCATAAAGAACGAGAGGGCGATGGATCAGTGCGTCCAGAGCTCCTCGTCCTCTCAGTGTCACGTCAAACAGGAAGCGGAGCAGCAGAGAGCCGACGGCCTCCCGCAGCTGCAGCAGATCAGCCACAACCTGGCCTCCGAATTCTACAACGTGAGTGACTTCAGCACCGTCAGAAACATTCACAGCTGTGGGTGGTTAACAGGTCGGACCGTCCCAGTTCCACTCAAACAGTAACAGTCAAATCTCAAGTCCCGCTAGTGCCCCCTAGAGGCTTCACTGTTTATCACAGCCATAATATGAGAGTACAGACAACGTACTGATGATACAGGGGTCACAATGAAATGATGACGATATATTTTATTATTTTAGTGTAAAGAACACATCACCATGTGCATCAAATGGTGTATACTATATTTAATTATTATTTATATTTGTATCCAGCACTGCTTTTTGTGCAAATGGCTGAAGCTAGATTACAACACAACAAATAATAGATAATATTTGATTTTCTCATGATTTCTTCTAACAAAGTGAGATTATGACAAGATACAAATCTACAAAATATATTTTCTTTATCAAATTAAAGGACCCTTTTTTTATTTAGATAAAACATTGCATATTTCCTTTTCTTTGTTTGACCCTGTTCACATCTTCTTATCTTTTTCATTTTCTGTGTCTGCCACACGGGATTTTAAACAGAACGGTGCATTCTCAGTTTCAGTCTTCACCTGCGACCGCTGTGGAAGATCAGATAGACTTTATTGATCCCACACTGGGGACATTCACCGCCGCTGCAGATACAACACAACACAATAGATTAGAAACATACACATTAAATAAGATAAAATCCAAACAAATAAAGGAATAAGAGTTATGTATGTACACTATATACAGATGTGATTAATGGATGAATTAAAGGTCATGTAGAGCTATGAATGTACAGTGCAGGTATATTATAATCTTAAGAATGTGTGTGTGTGTGTGTGTGTGTGTGTGTGTGTGTGTGTGTGTGTGTGTGTGTGTGTGTGTGTGTTGTTGTTGTTTTGTTGTTGTTGTTGTATATATATATATATATATATATATATATATATATATATATGTGTGTGTGTGTGTAACTGCACAGTACAGTTTTTTGTATTTGCGCCTTTATACAACTCTACAAGAATAAAGTTAAAAATAAACGGCGCCCTCTGCTGAGACGGGGGCGAAAGAGCTGCAGGTTGCCGACCACTGCTGACCAAAAGAATCAAAAATTAAATGAAACAAATTCATAAAAATGAATCCAGGTTGTGAATATTATCAGGTGTCCATTGCTCAATGTCTGCTAGCTTCATAAACAACCTGCACTGTGGGGGTCTGCTTGTTTTCGATTCCTCTCAGAAGGCAAAAGGCCTCAACTTTAATTTTGAGAGTTTTCAGGGTCTACTTTATGTGTTGACACATATCTTGAGTCAGTTTTGTTGTTGTTGTTTTTAGATAATAGTGGGTTGTTTTTTGACTTAACTTCCAAAAAGCCCTCTGAAAAACCAGAAGGAGGCACAGTGATCACTGGATTTTATGTAGATGTTGTAATTATTATCCTATACTTTTTATACCAAACTGGTTTCAATAAACAATTTAATAGAACACAGTTTTGTGCGAAAGGAATTAAGGGCCTGTCTCAAATAAAGGTAGTTTTAGTTTTACGGTATTATTAACCTCTGAAACCCCCACAGTGATCATTGCAAACTAATCGTCTCTTAGTACAGGACAACCGCTGATCAGATAGTTATTATGGAGCAAACACCAGTAACCACTGACTCCAGACTCAACGTGACCAACTCACTTGGTTTCATAAGCAGCTTGAATCTGTTTTGGTCTCTTACAAAAACACTGTGTCATTTTGCGGATGTCTTTGCACTATTTTAGTAAGTGGAAATGTCTGATTGGATTAACTGATTGAATCAGTTTTATTAATTTGGTCATGCTCAGTGTTTTTGCTCTGCCTGTACGAACCAGTTCAGTTGTGTAACCCAGACACACACAATTTACTGTTGATGTGTTTGTCTTATTTCCATTTTTCTTAAAGTGTCGGTGTTACGGTGGATGATCATGCACGTGTATAGACCATACTTATATCTTTGTTGGTGCCATTTAGTGACATGAGCACATGTGCTGATTAAGTTCAGTCGTCTCTCCTTCTGATGTAAAAATAACAACAAAATAAGATGTTTTCATTCATGTTACGGGCTCCATTTTAAAAATACATGAATTGACAGGCAGAAATGTTAAAGTTAGCTCTTGTCTGACCTCTCGGGATCAGGGAGGCGTGGGTGTCGTGCTCACTGTGTGTGATGTAATGCTGAGGTGAAATGAAAGAGAAAAAGCACCTGATGCTATTTCTGGAGGTTTGCTGAGTAGATGTCATTGCATGCTGAGAGACTCTGAAATCTGATCAACCTTTCAGCAAACAGACAGACACCACGCTTCCTGGCTCCTCATGTTGCAAACCTGCACACAATAAATCTAATCATTTTAAAGATAGAACAGAAACAATACAAAATTTTTAAAAAATGCATTCAAGGAACTGCAGGAAAAACACAGGCAAAGTCCACAGGAGAGAAAAGGAGGACAAAATGTTCATTAAAGTTTAGTTTAGTGTCTGTTGGTTAACCGAGACTTCTTTTTGATGTTTCCCAGGATGCCTTGCTCAGCTCTTTACTGGACGACCCCTATCTGAGCCTCCAGCTCACAGGCAAATCCAACCAGCAGGTAACAGCGCACCTACAGATGATGTCATCATAAAGTGTAAATAACATTGGCTGGAGGGGGTATGATGTCACCCACAGTGTGTCTGAACTGATCATTTTAAAGCCAGCAGGTTGTGTTTACTGTTGAGCCGAGAATATCAGTTTCATTGTCGGCTCATTTCTCCATAAGACTGCATTATATCGGTGTGTTATTGCAACCAGTGGAGCTCCCCCTGCTGGCCTTACATAGAGTTCAGGTTTAAGACACTGCTCGGACCCTGAAGCTCTGTCTGTTATATAAACTGTCAGTGGGTTGAACAGTGCAGGGCCCTCCTGTGATATAACAACACTAACAGTGGCCCAGTGAGATCCCTGCCTTAAAGGTTATATATACAACATTTACTTCACTAGAGCCCAGGCATCTCAGCCGAGCCCGACCTGGACGCGAATTTCCACTTAAAATAAATGAAAAAAATAAATAACTGAGTTTATTACAAGCTAATGTGAATAACATTGTGTAAATGATGTAGTGCAAATTATTATCAAAACTAATATAAAACAAAATCACTCATTAATTACAGTTTAATGACTAGACTCCATTGACAAAACCACTTGTACCACTTGTAAAACACACTTCAAACTGGACTGAAACTAAATAAAACTTACCAAAACCGTCTTTGTTAGTGTTTCCAACAATCACCAACTCTGGTTCGGTGGAAATAAATCCTTAATTCAACGACGTAGATGAGAAAATAGCTGTGAAACATTCAGCAGTGGCCGCAACGAAATCCTTGGGGACAAATGTGCCGGTCAAAGTCTGTTATTGTCAGTGTCTGACAGCATTATGGAAAGGATTCCTACAGAGATAGACCTTTAGTTTAACCACAAACAGCAGTTATATGGCTCCATAGTGGACAGAAACAAACTTCTGTCTGCGCGACAGGAGGAGCAGCCTCTCGGCTATTTGAAGTGCAGACATGACAACGCTGCAAAACTAGATTTCATGCCAGATTTCATTCACTTATACAGATGTTTTCAGCAGATGTGCTGACTCAGGTGTCGAAGGACTTAATAGGACCTCTAATGGCTTCTTGTAGACTTTAGGATGGGTTAAGTTGCTTTATTGGTCTTTATTTACGGTTCCAGTCTGCCCAGAATAATTTGGACAGTTATTTCTATCTTATCCCAGATAATCTACTGAGATCAATAAAGTCTTTGTCTTCTTTAAACTGTCTCATGAGTTTGTTAATCTAAATCCAAATATAAACCCAAGGTCTTCTCCGGATTTCAGAACAAATTCCCTGATGAAAGTCAGATGCTTTTGACCTGCAGTACTCTGTCAGGGTTCCCCATGCATCCTCCAAAACCTGGAAATGGATTAAAATTAGCAAAAATCCTGGAAAAAAATCAATGTTTTATAGGTTTTTTTGTCATTTAAATTGTATTTTATTTAGCCTGTGCTGTGGCCAAAATAATGTTACAGTTAGAGGAAAGCTGTAGTCAATAGACCTTTTTCCCAGCAGCCGTTTTGACATGAAATCATTGGTAAACACAGGCGTTACCAATGATACCAATTAAAGTTACGTTCCATTCATCTCAAACTGAGTCGAGGGGCCATGTTGGCTCACTGGTATCATTATGAACATTGTGTAGGTCCTCAGGTCGTTATCAGGTCAAATTCAAATACAGTTCAGGTAGAATTACAGGATTCTTTGGTTTTATCACAGATGTTTGATCCTGTGCACCTATATCCAATATCTGGATGTAAAGTATTCAGTATTCAGCGGGGAGGATCCGTATCTTACCATGTGGATCTGCTTCAGTTCACAGCAGACAACCAGAGCGACTGTCTGTCTCTGAACCACAGCGGTCTGAGCTGCAGCAGCACCGACAAGAACCAGTTCCCCTCCAACACCCAGGGGCACCTGGACATGCAGGACCCTGGGGACCAGCAGCTCCTCAACAACCAGAACCAGAACTACAGCGGCGGGGAGGGACGACACAACGTGCCCAACATCATTCTCACTGGTGAGCATCAACCAACGTGGTTGAAACTGGATTGTTGTGGTTCATAACGGGTGAAACTTCAGTACTGAAACCAGACAATAACCTGGTTTGAAACCTGGTTTTGAGGATGATAAACATGTTAATTTGACTAGAATATTAAATGTCTGAACACAAGCAGCTGCACAAGAGCTTAAACTAAAAATTCTGTCTGAACATGGGCCAAATTATCTTCTTCTTGGGCCAAATGAATCGGCTCCGAAACTCATGAAGCCCGACAGGAAATTTAGAAATTTACATTCATATGTGTCTTGCACATGGGTGTTGAAAAACATCTCAACAGCGCCCCCTACATCGCAGCTCCTGTAGCACATTTCACAGATATATGTGAAAATCTGTACATACATAAATGGACCCAAACCCAACTCCTCCTAGTGGACTGTTAGATGAAATAATGGGCTCTATATTAACAGTATAAAGCAACGTATATAAAACAGACTATTAGAAGGTAAACAGACTCATTTTGTCTTTCAGGAGAATTGAAAGAGGACCTGATTTATTTGGTTCCTTTCAGTCTTCCTGAGAATTGACCTGTGGTCTTTGGGGAAGTGAAGACTAGATGACTCTCAAGTTGAAGAGAAGTGAATCTGTGAATTTGTTTGAAAATAAGACTGGAAATAATTTAACCCAGTTCCCCTTGTGTACTCTATCTTTGAGCTAAAGTTTCAGAAACATTATTATCGTACAGCATAATGAGGGCTTCGTTAAAAACTGCAACAAGCAGCTGTTTTAGGAAATTACTGAACCGTTGTTGAACATGAAACTACATTTATGAGAATTACGTCTCCAGCAGGAACCAGTGCGCTCAGACAGGAAGTCAGACAGCGCTGAGAGACTTTTATTTCCTGTGAATATTGATCAGAGATGAATTTTCCTGATTTTTTTAGGAGCTTTTTATAAAATTCTCTGTCTGTGTTATGTTTTTAAATTAGATTTTAACAAGCATACATACTTCTTCTTCATGCTATCAACTCTTTGGTTGTTTTCTACTGTAAGACGAGGCTGTTTATCAGAGACTGACGCTCTGTGAATATAAACAAATAATGATCTAAACTTTAAAAATCCGTAAAGGAGATCCAGAGATTTCTCTCTAAACACATTTTACCTCCTTCCTTCCTTCCCTCCCTGCAGGCGACTCACCGCCAGGTCTGTCTAAAGAGATCGCCAGCGCTCTGTCTCACGTCCCTGGCTTCGAGATGGATCCCTTCTCCCTGGACGACCAGCTCAGGATGGACCCCCTGGCTCTGGACATGCTGGACGGCGACCTGATGCTCGCCGACCCGGCCGTGGAGGACTCCTTCCGATCCGACCGGCTAAAGTGACCCCGCACGACCCTCTGCTCCAGGAGCTCGGTGGGAATCGGCGAAGAGACGGCCACCCGGACTGAGGCGGAGAGAACCGGGATCAGCGCCGCTCCGCCGCCCACTCACCACTCCCCCAACCAGACGGTCTGCAGAGCGAGGTTTGGAAGGAACTTGGGGAATCTCCAAGAGTTTTGATGTAAAGAGAAGGACCTGAGACTTCTGTCGGAGGTCGGAACGAACTGAAGGAGGCGGGGAGTTTTTCCGTCGAAGGCACTTAACTGAAAACGCTCTCGCAATGCTTGAAGTCAAGAAAAAAACAAGATGCTTCTCTTTTTAGGCATTAGCTTGTACGAGTCTTATCTGCATGTTAATGAAAAATGCACTCGCGTAAATGCAAACACGCAGGAATAAACCGCTCACGTGACATCGGCTTTATGTAAGAAAAAAACAAACCAGCAAACGCTTGGAAGATCTTGAACAGCATTATGCATCCCGGTATGTGTGGACCCTCCCTGAGCTCTCTGACTGTTCTCTGCTCCACCCAGCAGCCACGGCGGCCATCACTCCACAGGAAACATGCGGTGTGATCGGTTTGGATTGTTTTACCCGAAACTGTCGTTAAGTTCGCTCGCAACAAAAAACAAAAAGCTACCAGTCGGAGGCCAATACTGTTTCCCTCTGCTTTATCAGCCACTTTGACAGGAACTTAGCCATGACTCAGAGGTCTATATATTTTTTAAAAGAAGTAGGTTTTCCTGCTCTGACAGTCACAGAAGTCAATGTAACAGCCTGAAAGAGGTTCTACTCTGGTCTGTACTCGTTTGAGTGAATCAAAAGAAATAGTAAGTTAATGAAAAGCAGGTTAAATGTTTGATCTCTCAGGAGTGAGTACGGCGCTAGAAAGAAAAAAAAGCCAATATGCTGTTTCTTTTTTCAAGTCTGTCTGACCTTCCCCATGATGTCACACAACTGAAAGTCCTTAAAATTATCCCGTGATCACATAGGACGTAACTAAAAACATTTCTTTTCTCGTGAGCTGAAGAGTCGATTATCGTGCTTTTGGGTCGAGTTGTTCCAATGCCTTTATTTCCTTCCCAATACCGATTCCAGTACATGCGTTATAAAAGGATTGCTGTCATTGTTGTAAGGCCTGGCTCAGTCAGAGTAGGGCACGGCATGACTTTGCTATCCTGGGGTAAAAAATTAATGAACAGGATACTGCCTGCCACCATTTAAAGCTCCAGTGTGTAACATTTAGGATCTATGGACAGAATTGGAATATAATATTCATAGGAATGGTTTTATTAGTGTTTAATCAGCTGTACCTGCTTTGGTGGTGTTGTGTAGTTTCTCCTACACACTTCAGGTTGTTGCATTCTGCAGTTTCACCACTAGATGCCACTAAATCCTACACACTGGTCCTTTAAAGTTCTTCAGATGAAAGCAACCTCAGTATTTTCATATCTGATCCTTCCATCTTTTATCCTTCACCAACTGAACAACAATCCTTCAGGCTCTGACCACTCGGTTGTTATATTCTAGGCAGCATTATTGTCCACCTGTCTAACTTTATAATAGAGAAACAAAAGGAAAATGCATTGTTTCATTTAAAGCCGCTGATCTACAGTTTGCAGCAAGAATCACCAAAGCAAGAGCTCGCTGTTCGTTAAATCGCATTTACACTTTTATTCAGATATTCAGCAGCATTCAGCTCATGAGAAATTATAAAATAAGCGTCCTGTGTGATCACAGATCATCAGTTCATCTTTCAGTCCCTCCAGGAAGTTAAATTCATTTACATTCAACCAATCCCTGTGAATTCTGTGAAAACTTTCAATGACCAAACATTGTCCGCGCAAAACGGGGAGCCATATTGTCTCCAGACTCACTTGCTTGTTTCTAGATGTGAAGAGTCTTTTTCTGTTCGCACTGGAACAAGTTGCCTTTAATGTTCACTTTGTCTCGCAATGTCATGCATACATCTCCATTTTTTTAAGAAAATCTGCCGTGTAATCTGACAGGCGGCAACAATCCCCCCAAAAAATCCAGTGAAGTCCTGGAGGGACTGATCTTTAAGTTTCTACATCACTGCCAGCTAGACGAGTTTATCTAAGCCTGAAACATGCTGCTGCGTCTGAAACATGCGACTGTCTGCAGGCGTATGGACACGTCACAGCGTGTGCAATAAGGGGAATTAACAATTTGTCTTTTTCTGCTTGCATTTGAGCAGCTCTCTTACGTTCCTGGATGTCAGTTTCCATCTCTGTGATCCAGGTCGTGTTAAGTCTAGCTTCCCCAAACACGTGTACCTTGTGCAGCATCGTGTTTCAGCCTCCTGTGCCTGCTGCTGTCTGTTAGCTCTCAGTCTCGTCCACATTCCCTCTAACAGACAGAAGTTCGCGTCTTGCTGAAGAAGAATGCGCTGACAATGCCTCGGATGCACTTGCCTGTAGTCACATGTTGATTGGCTGCATTTTTAATAGAGAATTATGCATTTCGACAATGAAACTGAATGTGTCGTCTGCTGACGGACAGACGGAGGAGTGAATGAGTGGCAGATGGGAAGCAGGGTTTCTGGACGCCTCTGGGGAAAGCAGGCTTCTTTCAGTGCTTTTAAATGCGTGTAGAAACCCCGACTTCACAAATCTGCATCTTTTTCCCTTTGAAATGTTTGAAAGACAGCTACAGTCGCCCCTCAGGCTTGAGCTTTATCGCCCTTTCAGGTCAACATTTTAAAGGGCAATCCCACCAATGTTAATGTTGCTGTTTTATCTAACCAGACATTTTCCAAAAAAAGACCCAACTGTTAATAACTTGTGTGTGTACAAGTTTACTGTCTTGATATGGATCCTTTATTATAGATTAATCTGCCCATTATTTTCTCCATTAGTTAATCATTTGACTGAAAATAAAGAAAGTCCAGTTCACAAAGTCACAAGTAGAACATCACATCTTCAAATGCCTTTTGTTGTCCGACCAAAAGACCCCAAAGAAAAACGAAATCCTCTCATTAGAGAGATCAGATTGAAGAATATTTAGTATTTTAGCTTCAAGAAGGACTGAAGCAATCAGTTGATTATCAAAATTAGATTAGAATATTTGGTTTTATGTCAGTTGACTGAGCTCTAGATTTAATCTTCCTTTCACAAGAGGAATAGTCGATAAATCTGTCACAGAGAATCTATCTGAAGTCATTTTTACTTGCAAAACTATTAAACAATCTGCGAGCTCATGTTGTGTTTGCTCTGTAGCAATGTTTTCCACCAGTCCTGCATCTGATCGGGCAAATCACAACCGCTGTTACTGTTAAATAACAACTGCACCTAAAGCTTGTGTTGATAAGAAAGAGTCGTTTGCCGTTCCTCTGACAGGATTCGGTTTAATTTACCAACATCACAAGTGATTTGTGTATAAATTTACTCCCCGTACAGTCATGACCCGTGAAATCAGCAATCGGAGACCAAAAGCATGTTTTGTCACTTCAGTGTTGGTTCCAGGTTCTCAGCTGTGAACGGTCAATAATCGTAATCGTGTAGATTTGTGGGTCGGACATACGAACACATTTGAAGACGTCTCCTCGGGTTTTATGTTTCACTGTGTTTAGACAATTTGTAGCCCGAATGTTTCATCTTTTAATTGAGAAAATAAGCAGATTAATAGATAATAATCCCTAAATTGTGTGCACCTTTAACCACACCCAGCAGTGATGTCACAGTGTCCTGGAGTACACCTGTACATCACTTCCTGTTCACTTAAAATCCTCTTTCACAAAATAAATCACTTTAACTTTAGGCAACAACCCAAATGCAGTTTTTTGGCGGGATTGCCCTTTAACCCCAGTCACTGTGATTGACAGCCCTTAGCCCCGCCCTCTCTGCCTGCACTTGCTGCACCTGTGTTTTCAGCCCCCCCCTCGGGGGGCTGGAGCATGGCAACATGTTTTTATGTAACAAAGGTAAAAAAAAAAAAAAATCTTATTATTAATATTATTCTGACTATAAAGAAGTTTTATTTTTTAATCCAAAGTGGTCTAAATCTGTATGTATATAATTTCGCACATAATATCTTTTAAAAAAAAAAAAAAATACAGTATATTTAAGAGAGAAGAAAGAAAAAAAAAACAGCTTGTAGAAGTTTGAAGTCGCAGTCGGAGAGTTTTTGAACAACAGCTTGTGAAACAATTAGCTGCATGTGTCTCCTCGTGTGAGCAGTTAGAGTCCGCGTTGTTGTGAAAGGAAATACTGTTGTCAACCCCACGTCCCCTTGTTGTTGTTGTTGTTGTTGTTGTTGTTGTTGTTGTTGTTGTTGTTGTTGTTTGTGAGCTTCACACAGCTTCTGGATGGCCGTCAGTTGTGTATTTGAGTTATTGAGTCTGGTTTCGGACAACATTCGAGGTCTGAGGAACGTTTTTCGGTTTAAAGTTTAAAGAGTTTAGAATAATTTGCGTTGAGAAAGATTTTCTAAAGATAGAAAACTGGAAAACTGAAGTCAATTTTCTTAAAATAATCAGAAAACCACAGCCCGTCCTTTACAGCAGTGTTTCCTAACCTGGGGGCGGGACCCCCGTTAAGGGCCGCGAGAAGGTGAACGCGATAGAAAAGAGTAAAAATAACCTTAAAATAACGTTTTTAACTGGTTATGAACTGAATTGTAATACTGATGCCTCTCGATGAGTGTCATAAACACACATATTGATGTCTGCCAATAGTCTGTGTCCGCGTCGGATTCCCCTTGAAATCAATGAAACCAGGTGGTAGAAACAGTACCGCTTTAGTCCACAGGGGGCGCCAGCATCAACACACAATGAAAGAGATTGAGCTTTTCCGGTTTTATTTATTTATTAAATTGATTTGTTCAGGACAGCAAAAGCATTAAAGATTAAATATACATTTATTTCTTATATTTATTTGTCATTTAGCTGTTTTATTGTTTCAAGAGGAAATTATAAAATTTAAAGGTCCAGTGTGAAAAATATAATATGTTTTTATCTACAGAGGGAGCGGGTCCTCTTCTACGGAGGCCGCCATGTTGAACCGCCATGTTTCTACAGTAGCCCAGAACGGACAAACCAAACATTCGCTCTAGATTGGGCCGTGTACATCTTTCGCGGCCACCGTAGTTCCTCCAACACACTTGTAAGTGGAGGGTGAAGTGAGGAAGTCACAATATGCAACTAAATTCTTCACACTGGAACTTTTTAAAAAAATAAAAAAAGTACAAATTACCGCAAATCCAGTTTTAGGAAGCTGAATTCAGGTTGCCTGTTTTTCTATTAATCGATTATCTTTTGTTTTTAATGGTAAAGTTAAATAAATGTTCAACAGACTGTTGGCGGTGCCATGAATTAGAAGAAGCAGGTCTGGGGTCCGCGTGGATCCGGAGACACGGCGAGGTGAACGTTCAGCTGAAGTGATTAATGCTCTTAGACGGTCGGTTGGTGTGAGTTTGTTGAAGGATGCTGGTGGAGATGATGATGAGGCTGGTTCCCTCTGCAGGTCCACGAGCTTACCTGTGTCCTCTCTGGGCTTCTGTAGTCGATCAAATCTGGTATAAATGGCAGAACTACTTCCTGGAGTTTCTGTTTCTGACCTCTGACCCTTTTTCAGTCACCTGTTGGATAGAACGAGAGCTTTGCTTGCGGGGGATTCTGGGAAGGTCGGCGTTCAGCGGAGGTCAGAGCTGTCGGCGCCGGCAGCCGGCGAGATTTCTGTGGGTTCGTTTTTTTTTTTTAATGGGGGGCGGGGAAGTCGCTTCGTGCAGCCATGTTGGATGAAAAAGTTACTGCGTTAAAGTTACAACCAGGAGGGGAGAGGAAGTTGAAGCACTGAGGGTTTGATGTTTCTGTGGTTTCGTGTCCGTGATGAGTTTCTCTGTGTTGTCGACAGGAAGTTGAGCTTCTGTCAGTTGAAAACGCTGCAAAGAAAAATCTCATAACAAGTCATTAAATGTCCTAAAATCTTTAAAGTAGCAGTTCATTAAACCAGATTCATGTTTTCACTTCAAGTACATCGGTTCTCAACCCGGGAGAGAGAGTTTAAGACTATTTCATACTCTTCACCGTTAATCTGCCAATCGACAGCACAGTATGGGTCTGATCAGTTGATCCTTCCTAAGCCCCGCCCCTTTTTGGAGGACCTCGAGCTTCCTCTTCGATTAACTTTCTCCTTTCCTGTGCTCAGATATGCTACGTGCTAGCCTCGTCTGTGTTGAAAAGAGCCACAGTTTGGTCAAACGATCAAAGCAACACACACATCTATATAAATATGTATAAATCTCGAGGAGGGCAGGAAAGGAGGAAGTTGACCGAGGTTTGCTCGACTGTTATTGGAGCACAGAGCAGAAAGGGGGCGGGACTTAAAGGATTTAAAGCCGTGGTTCCCAACCTTTTTCTTTAAGCGACCCAGAGTAAATTACAGATTTTATGTATATTAATTTATATTAAACAATAACAGTGAACACAATAACTGATTATTTCCTGTGAATATTAATCAGATGAGTTTTCCTGATATTTTTACAACCTTTTTATACAACTCTCCGTCTGTATTAAGTATTTTTTTTTATTTTTAACAATCATACAGACTCAATAAGCTTCTTCTTCTCCCTGACGCTCGTTCTTGTAGCTCTTTGGTTGTTATAGTTTCATTAATGTCGGCCTACTGTGTGTATCTTTAAAATTGTGGTCCCCAAAGAGGTTGGGAACCGCTGGTTTAAAGGAGCAGAACTGTGGGACTGAATGGCTTCTTATTACCTGATTTTCTTGCAGTGAAATCTCTTCGTACAGAAAACTCTTCAGATTCAGTCTCGTACAGTTAAAACAGGATTCAGACCGAGCGCCAAAAACACGTCGGATTAAAATCAGGTTCGGAAGGAAATCAGATTTAAAGTCTTTTGAACGTTACAGGAAGTGTTCAGACGGCGGCGAGGAACAAAATCTGTCGATTTCTGAGGGGGGGGGGGGGTTTAAGTTAAATGTTCATTTTAAAAGCATCATTTTATTTTTACGCTTTGTTTAATAAGAACAGGTGTCACTCAGAAGGTCAAAACATCCCATAATTTCCCCATCTGTGTTTTCCTGTTTGTAACATTTGTGTGTGTGTGTGTGTGTGTGTGTGTGTGTGTGTGTGTGTGTGTGTGTGTGTGTGTGTGTGTGTGTGAAGCATCTTGCTGTTATGCAATAATAATGTTGTGAGTTAACATGCAGTTCCAGACTCTGCCAGTAGGGGGAGCTGTTGACCAGCGAGGTAGTTTGTGTGTGTGTGTGTGTGTGTGTGTGTGTGTGTGTGTGTGTGTGTGTGTGCAGACTCTAGGGATCAGTTAAAGGCCATATTTCATATTTTTTCATATTTTTTATTGATGTATGATATTAATTGCTCTCACATTATTAATGTTATTGTTAAGTTTTTATGTTTTTAGGCTCCGGAGGATAAAAACGAGCTCTTGCGTCTTTTTTTTTCCGCTTTGTATTATTTGAGTAATAAATTGACATTTTTTTTGTTCCATTCAGATTTTTATTTGAACCTTGTAATAAATAACCAGGGAATGTTGAGTGTGTTGTACATAATGAACATTGTTTTCAAACCAGAGGTGCTTCTGAAGCTAACAGGAGAGATTTTTAAAGAGACTGTACCTTCACATTATTTTCCAGAAAATAAACAAATGAAACCTGGAACAGCTGTTTGTCTGTTTATGTTTATAAAGAAATATTCATATTAATGGGCTGCAGCCAGCTCCTGTACTGTAGTAAAAGAACTGATATCACCACACTGTAAAGTACTGATACCACACTGTAAAGTACTGATACCACCACACTGTAAAGTACTGATCCCACACTGTAAAGTACTGATACCACCACACTGTAAAGTACTGATACCACCACTCTGTAAAGTACTGATACCACACTGTAAAGTACTGATACCGCACTGTAAAGTACTGATCCCACACTGTAAAGTACTGATCCCGCACTGTAAAGTACTGATATACCGCACTGTAAAGTACTGATCCCACACTGTAAAGTACTGATATCACCACACTGTAAAGTACTGATACCGCATTGTAAAGTACTGATACCACACTGTAAAGTACTGATACCGCATTGTAAAGTACTGATACCGCACTGTAAAGTACTGATACCACCACACTGTAAAGTACTGATACCGCATTGTAAAGTACTGATACCACCGCACTGTAAAGTACTGATCCACACTGTAAAGTACTGATACCACACTGTAAAGTACTGATACCGCACTGTAAAGTACTGATACCACCACACTGTAAAGTACTGATCCCGCACTGTAAAGTACTGATACCACCACACTGTAAAGTACTGATCCTGCACTGTAAAGTACTGATACCACACTGTAAAGTACTGATACCACCACACTGTAAAGTACTGATACCACACTGTAAAGTACTGATACCACCACACTGTAAAGTACTGATACCACACTGTAAAGTACTGATACCGCACTGTAAAGTACTGATCCTACACTGTAAAGTACTGATACCACCACACTGTAAAGTACTGATACCACTCTGTAAAGTACTGATACCACACTGTAAAGTACTGATACCGCACTGTAAAGTACTGATCCCACACTGTAAAGTACTGATACCACCACACTGTAAAGTACTGATCCCACACTGTAAAGTACTGATCCCACACTGTAAAGTACTGATACCACCACACTGTAAAGTACTGATACCACACTGTAAAGTACTGATCCCACACTGTAAAGTACTGATACCACCGCACTGTAAAGTGCTGACCAAAAAACATAACAAAACCAAAGTATTGAAAAACTTTCTTTAAAATAGATATTTTATTAGTAATAATAATTATAACAATAATATTCTTTATTGACATTCACAACAATGTAGAGATAGATATTAGATATAGTTCCCTTTATGTTACTAACAAAAACAAAACAAAACAAAAGTATTGGAAACAAATTATATTTTATTAATAATAATAATAATAATAATAATAATAATAATGTTTAAATAATAACGGCTATTTATTAAGCTCAAAGTTAACATTTAAAATTGCTTTCCGACAATATTAATAATATTAATAATATGTCAGACACACATTATTGTTCACAGCAGAATCTTTATATTTTCATTAATGAATCTTCAGAAATTCAGCCGTTCATCTGCGGCTGCGTCAAGAGACACACAATCATACCGGAAACAGAGGGGCTCTGGCTTCAAAATAAAAGCATAAACTCCGTCACACTGTGATGGAATAAATGAGCACTTTTCTGATTTCTTAAATTGTTTAATGTTCGTGGTTCATTGTTCAAAATCATTGCTGATTAAAGATAATTAACTAAAAATAAAGCAAATCTCTGAATTTAGGAGGTTTTAATTCCATGAATCATTTATATTGTAGGATAACACGTAGCTGGTTAATAAAGAATAATTACTTTAATTCTAACAAGCAAAACTGAATTTTAATCATCGTAAGTCTGAATTTTAGGGAGAAGGTTACAATTATGAGTTTGTGGGGGCGTTGCATAAATGTGATTTAACTACAAGTTAGTCAGTGTCACTAATTACTTTTGGCATGGAGTAATAAAACTACTTTTTAAAAGAATAATAAAGAAAACATTTTGAGGCCAATGGCACTTTAAAGCCTCTATAGGAGATACTTCCTCCTCCACTGACATTCCTTTACTTTGAAGGCAGTCACAGGAAACAGTGCGTGCTGTCGTTTGTTGCTTGATGCGCTTTCTGCAGCTTCACAGACAGAAATCAAGAAATTGATTTTAAAAAGTTGGGGCAAAAAAATTACAACACAAAAAAATCTTTTTTCATATATGAAATCAATTCAGGAATCTAGAAATTGATTTAAAAAGTCGTAAAAAGTCGTAAAAATAATAATTGGGGGGAGTAGGGGCATTATTACGGGGTGCTGTTAAAAAGCAATTAGTAATAAATGAATTTTTTTGGAGCCCAACACTGATTATAGTGGCAGCTTTAGGCCTCCATAAGACACTGCCTACACCGCTGACGTTCCTTTACTTTGAAGGCGGTCACCGGAAACAGTGCGCGCTCTCGTCGGCAGCTTGACGCGCCGCCGCAGATTCACACGGCAGTCAGCAAACATGGACGTCACATGTGAGCGAGTGACCTAAACATGATCCTTCCAGAAACCCGCGGGAACAACCAGCAGCGACAACGAGGTACGAGCGACATTATCACGCGTTTCACCGAGTTCACGCGTCCTATTACCGGATCCGGTGGCGGTAACGTGCGGGAGCTGCCCGCCGCCCGGTGGAGCTAACGGGGAGCTAGCAGCGTCGTTTAACGGTAACCTCGGTGCGCCCATTATCGGACACGCCTCCCCCGGGGGGCGAAGCGCTTCTTTCCGCTTCGCTCCGAAATATTTCACCGTCCGGACCGAACCCGCGTTAAACCCGCGTTAAACCCGCAAACTGACTGCGGGTTTTAACGCGGGTTTAACGCGCGTGCGGGTGTTTATTGGTGTAGTTTCTCGCGTGCACATGTTGTTTGACAATATAAATAAATAAACGTGTATATTTGTTATATTTATATTTGCTGCATGTTTAATCGGTGCGAGCGGGGGCCGAGAACCGGTCGGTCCCGGTGTTGGTACCGGATAAAATGCACAGAACCGGACATCGGAGCAGGCGGGTCTGCGTCCGATAATGGACTCCTGGGGGTTTGTCACTGACGCAGAGCACCGCGGGGACTTTATTATTTATATATATTATATATTTAATTTAAGACTCTTTGTTTTTATTTTGTTTGTTTTTGGGGAAAATGATTGAATTAAACAGAGCAGAGCCGTGTCCGATAATGGAACCTGACGTTGAAGAGGTGGGGGGGGGGTTTAAACCTCCAGCAGCTGCTCGGGCCTGTTTGTTGCAGTGCAGCTCATCTTCATCAGCTTCATCGGGTTCCTGCAGACGGGGGGGAGCTGCCTGTCTGTCTGCTGCCTTTCTTTTGTCTGCCTGCCTGTCTGTCTGCCTGCCTGTCTGTCTGTCTGTCTGCCAAGAGAAGCAGAATCTCCTTTAAAGTGATTTGATGATGATGAGGGTTTAATCCACGATGAAGATCAGTCGTTTTTATTCTACAAACATCGCAATGTTCTAGAAAGTTCGCAACAATCCACAAACAGTCGAGCTGACTTTCATCTTTTTAATCCTTCCTTTGTTTTTAACTTTACTGTTCCCCCGATACGGGATCAATACAGGAACATCTGCTACGGTAGCCCAGAGCGGACAAACCAAACACTGGCTCTAGATTGGGCCTTCACTGTAGCTCGGAAGGCGAGTGGTATTCAGTTGGGTCAGGAAGATAATACGTTTCTCACGACTGATGCTAATTTCTGTTAGCGCATTAATGGTAATTCCCATTGTGTGTTAGCGTCGAGCTACGTCTTATTTCTGGAGATAATTTCTCTTCTTTCCGCGTTCTCTGTCTTGACGCTGTATAAAGTTTACAGCTACATAAATATCTATGTTTCTTTTAAACAGGAGAGTTTTATTTTATTCCCTCTTACATAACGGGACTCGCCTTTAATATAATACGTCTAATGATAACAGAAATTATTATTAGCACCGATTCAAGAAATCAATTTTAAAAAATCTTAAACTAAATCCGACACACTGATCCTCTGAGCTGCAACGATTAATCAATTAGTCGTCACCTTGTAAATCAATTGATTGTGAGTCTTTTTTTAAGGAAAAACTTATAATTTTCCCAATTCTCTGACATTTTCTGGACGAAACAACGGATGTTTGTTTGTGTTGACGAGCCGGTTGAGGATCAAACACATCTGAATGTTTCATTTAATCAGAAATTAAAATCCTCCTGCAGACGGCCGGTTGACGAACCGGTTCCCCGTCAGTCAGGTGACTTCACGGTTCAGCCCGGGGAGTTAAAGCCGCCGTTGGCGAACGCGCTGCAGGTGAACACCGGAGCCGTGTTTGTGTTGGCAGACGGCGAGATACCGGAGGGCGCCGGGAGGACGTGTCCCCTCTTGTAAAGAATGTGTCGCTGCAGAGTGAAGACTCAGTTCAGGGTCAGCGGAGGAAACTTCAGCGCCCCCGAGGAGGGAAACAAACACGTTTAGAGGCTGAATGACATTTTATTTATAATCATTAGTTTATAATGTTAGAAAACAACAGGTTACAGTCACAGTCAGCGACCCGCCTGCCCGAGGGCTCGTTAAACGCCACCGGGGGAAGTTCAATGTCCTGGTCGTTGTGGGTCCCCAGAATAAAGAACTGGATCAGGACTCAGCAGATACTCTGAGGGACAGTTTAACTGTTGGACTTCAGTGGTGTTGTCGGTTTGTTCTGCGCCAACAGAAACCAGGATCCGGTGTTTACGTGCCACAGAGTCCTGGTTTCTACCCGAGAGCTCGTCCACAATCTGGACCAGGTCTTATAAAGGTCTCTGAAACCAGGATCCGGTGTTTACGTGCAGACTTCTGAGTATCTTTGCAGCTAAAAGAAACCCAGACAACCGTCCTTGAGCTCTGAATCATACAGATGATGAGGAACAGCATCCAGTTCCAGTACCGGGCGCTGCAGCGTGTCCCAGCATGCACTGGGAGAGAGAGGCTCGTCTCTGCTGCTATAAAATCTGCAGTCAGATCAGCAGCGACTCCGGCGACTCGCTCCTCGACATTCCTCCCGCGCTGCGTTCACTGACTCTTGTTTTCAGGAGATTACGCAACGTCCTCCACCGACTCACGACTAGTGAGTGGGAGGGGGACGGGGGGGGGGGCTCCTAAAAGTTCACAACTCTCTGAGGACCTCGACACGCCCTTTAAAACATTCTGGTTTTATATGTCCTGGATGTTTCCTGGAGGGTGTGCACACAGAGGGCAGCTGTTAGAGGCCTTTTGTTTTTACTGCGTCTCTGATAAAGAAATGTTCTCATTTAAAGGCTTCGTGTCGACAGCGTCTGTCCCATAGATCCATAACAACTAGATAATAACCTCATTATAATCATTACATTAATGTCAGGAACGTGCAACGACTCGTCGGCTTTATGTAACGGGTCTGTTAACGGACAACGAGCTGGATGAAGGTTACTGTAAACGTGTTAATATGGGCCCTTATGGAGCCAGCCTCTAGTGGCCGTTAGAGGAACTGCAGATATATAATAATGTTATAGTGACGTTAGAGAAGCAGACAGGAAACGTGGAGCGAGAGCGCCGCGACGCCCGCCTGGAATCGAACCGGCGACAGTCGCGGCCATGTCTCGTGTGCCGTAAGCATTTAAACTACGCTGCGCCTCTGACCTCTGACCTCTTTACTGTCAGTAGCTCGTACTGTTGTTGATGTAGGAAGTCTGTTGTTGACCTCGTGTGTGTGTGTGTGTGTGTGTGTGTGTGTTCGGTAGCCCTCGGCCATGTTGGCCAGCAGCCGGCCTCCACCCTCAGCCGCCATCTGTGAGAGAACATTGCTCAGTATTTTCTTCCTGCTCTGTCGAACTCGCTCACACACACACACACACACACACACACAGTCTCGTTTATTCCACAACAAACAAACAAACAAACGTCAAATTACACAAATATATTAATTTAAAACAACATAGCTTCACTTTAGGGAAGGTTTGCAGCTTTTATGTCTTGTGGTTGATCACTGGACATAATAATAATAATAATAATAATAATAATAATAATAATAATAGTAATAATAATAGTAATAATAATAATAATAAGAATAGTATTAATAATAATAATAAGAATAGTAATAATAATAATAATAAGAAGAATAGTATTAATAATAATAATAATAATAATAGTATTAATAATAATAATAATAATAATAGTATTAATAATAATAATAATAATAATAATAGCAATAATAATAATAATAAGACTAGTTTTCCAGTCATGGAAACACCTGGAATTTGATTAAAATGACCAAATCTCCTGAAATCTGTGTTGTTTATGCTTTTCTGTTTTAATTGTATTTTAGTAATGATGGTTCGAGGAAGACGAGCACGAAGAGGCAAAACCATTAAAACAAAGGAGGAATAAAACTGGTTAAATGTGTCAATATTAAATTATATGACTAATAATATTATATACAGGATTACACAGTATGTAAGTGTAACAGTCACGTGCAGGACTTTTACTTCAGGAACCGATCTGAACGCTTCCTCCACCGCTGCCCTCCAGCTTATTGCTGATACTGCAAACCTCCACGAGCCACCTTGACCTGCGTCCCCACACACACACACACACACACACACACACACACACACACACACACACACACACACACACAGTTTCGGGGCTGAGATCCGGTTTCAGGATGTCCATTGAACTCTCTGCAGCAGCCTGACAACCGTCTTCCTCGACTCGCTCTTCTTTCCTGCGTCCTGCGTCTCTAGCTCACTGTGTGTCTGCTGTAATAGATTATTTCTTCACTGCAGTTATACGTCAATAATAATAATACTGTTTTATATCTGTCTGTCTGTCTGTGTGTGTCTCACCACTGGTTATTATCTGTTTGTGTTTTTAATTTCTGTTGTCATCAGGAAATAACCAGAAATATATAAACACTAATAATACGAAGAACAAAATAACAAAAACTAAACTAAAAGACATCCGACTGTCTTTGTTCGCCCTGAGAGCAGCTCTCTGAGTATCACACTGACATATCTCAGCAACTATTGGATGGATTGTGATTTCTTCTATTATTTAAGCTTTTTTTTTACTTTTTTGAACTTTTTTGAAGAAGTTTTAATATAGTTTTCCTCTCAATGTTTGGTTCTCCTTCCTCCAGTGGAGAGATTAATGAGTTGGATGCAGTACCTGAGAACAGTTTCACTAGAAACCCCCAGTGAACATGCTCAGACTATAAATATGAGTGAGGGGATCTGTTTATCTGCTCTCTGCTTGTTGTTCAGGACACGGCATCATCACATGTGAATTCATTTTGGAAAGCGTCCGTGTGTCCTCCCGTTCACAAAGTGAGCCGGCGCTCTGTGGACGGACTAAATATAGACTCCAGATATTTAAATCTCCTCCAGGAGTCTGCAGTCCTTTCAGCTCCTCCGCTTTCAAGCTCCGCTCTCGCTGTCGCTCCTCCTCCGCCGGCTCCTCAGTGAAATGACTGTTTACTGCAGAGACGGAGGAGCTGCTGTCGGCCACTTTCTGCTTTCCACGAGCTCGGTCTGAGTTTAGAGATCA